TCTCAGTTCTACAACAAAAAATGTACCCAGTGTCATCTATAATATATCTCCCAGATCATTGTCTATGAAACAGTTCCACATTGTGTACCCTATGACAGGTGTCACAGAGACTGAGACAAGCTGGCTGCTAAGAAAAGCATCTTTATTTTCACACAAACATAATTTAAACAATACAAAAGGTTGGTATCAGTTGTCAGTCCTGAGGTGCATGTATGAGTGTGTGTAGCAGTGAATGGCAATAACAGAAATATCAGCCTAAAGAACAGTGTAATGATGGTGGCTTAAAAAAAAATAATTATACTATTGTTTGTAGTATACATCATTTGTTTTAAATGTTATATTTGTTGTGACTGACAACAGTGAAGCCAGGTGTTAAAAAATGAATTAATAAATCTTATAAAATTTAGATTTACTTCCAAACCTTAACATTTTTCTTTTAAAAATGTTGAACAATACTGCCAATAAACAATACAATGTTTCTGTGTTTACTTAACTAATTTCTTTTTCCAAACAAGTATGTATAAGTATTACAATGAAATGTGTGTATTTGATCAGAACACAGAGTATTAAAACAGTAGCAGTTTGTGCTAAACATTTATCAAGTATACATTTAAGTTGTAGTTTAATCTTGAAGAACAGAGGCAGTTAATGGCATGGTCCAAGTCTTTGAAGTACGATGACATCTGTCGGTATGAATATGACACCACGTGAACACTTCATGTTAATGCCACACACACGAGTCACACTCCTGAGCACTGACCGCTCTCTCTTTAGAGTAAGCTTGCATGATTTCCCTCATTTCATCACATTCATTGACGTCGTCTCTGGTGCAGTTTTCAATGACTGTTTTGAGATACTCAGAAAGTCCAGATTCTTTTTTGGTTATGTAGCTGGTGAGATACATGATGCATGAATATGCATTGAGAATATAACTAACATCAATATTGGCATCCAGGCTTCAAGTAGATGTGGATTATATCCATTTACCCCTTGTCCCTTTTGAAGTCGATGTTGATATATTTTACCCTAGTTTTGTTACGCAACATCCATACTCTACTAACGTCTAGGTTGTAGATGGAGCAGATGTTGTCCAGGCCTCCACAGGCAACGTAGTTCACAGCCACCCCTGCGGAGGAGGCGGTGGCTATTTGCGAAAACCTCCAGCATCCCCAGCCACGGCAGCCACCGCAGCGGTGGCGGAGGCGGAGGCGAAGGGGCTGGCTCAAAGCTCAGGTCCACCTGACCGGTCTCAATGTCCCATAGAGCGCAGGTGGTGTCTCCAGAGCTGGTGACGATCTGGTTGTCATCCAGGAAGCGACAGCAGGACAGGTAACCTGTGTGTCCGGCCAGCTCGCGGCTGACGTGCACGTTTCCCTCGCGGGCCTCAAGGTTGTAGATGGAGCAGATGTTGTCCAGGCGGTGGCGGCGGTGGCTATTTGCGAAAACCTCCAGCATCCCCAGCCACGGCAGCCACSGCAGCGGTGTCTGAGGCGGAGGCGAAGGGGCTGGCTCAAAGCTCAGGTCCACCTGAGAGCCAGAAATTCGGAGGCTGAATGCCGCATCAAGATAAACACCACCTTAAAAACAGACACAGTGTAAACAGCAGAATGCGTATAAAATCTGTAGCCCTGTAGACAAACATATTTTCACATGTTTAACAATAAATAAACAGACAAGCTCCTTTATGAGGCTGCTGGCAAGAGACAGAAGATGTCCTCTTTTACAGACTCAACAAAATCTTTTCATGGCTGTAGAAAATGTACAGTGTTTAAGTGAAATGTCAAGACATTCATTACTAAAAATGACCAAATGAACAACAAGGATGTAGTGTAACATTTATCCATGTACAGCGCAGCGTAGTGTAGCAAATTGCTCCCGCGATTCACCTCGTTTCAGTGTTGTGAAAAGAGAAATCTTTGACTTTGAGGAGATCAGATGTAAAGCACTCATCTGTGAAAAGCCAAGACCTCCAAGATATCTCAGACACCTGTGTTTACACTACAAAACCCAAGGTGCAAAAATAACGAAGAAAATACGGTCATCTTTAATGGCGGCGTGTATACAAACCCATTATTCAGTAACAGATATATAAGGTTAAAGCGGACATATTTACATTCTTTGTCAATTAAAAGCATTTCAGTCGGTCCATTCCGTCTAACACTGATACTTAAAAAACAAAATAAAGTTGCTTTTGTCGCGTGGAGACAGAACCTGACGTCAAATGAGTTCAGGCAGGTTCCACGCTTCACACTGAATCGTGTCAGTTTGTGAAAACCATTCAACAGCGTCTGAGCAGGACTTCACTTCCCATGGTGCCCCTGTGTTCCCTGTCCGTCCCGCTCTGGCACTCGTCCCCGGCTCACCGCGTCAAGGGGCCTTTCTCAATACCCAAGTTCACAACTACGGACTTCTGAACTTCTGGAGTACGGACTTGAAGTCTGGACTCCAAGTCCATACTCCATACTGGAGTCAGTGCTTCAAGAGCCACCACACACAGACGTATCCAGGACATGTCGCATTCCTTGTGTCAAGCCACTCCTGAACCAGAGACGTAAGAAGTGTCTTACCTGGGCTAAGTTGCCTGAGCTAAGTTACCTGGGCTAAGGAGAAAAAGGACTGGACGGTTGCTCAGGGGTCCAAAGTCCTCTTTTCAGATGAAAATCAATTTTGCATTTAATTTGGAAATCAAGGTCCCAGAGTCTGGAGGCAGAGTGGAGAGGCACACAATCCAAGTGTCTTGAGGTCCAGTGTGAAGTTTACACAGTCAGTGATGATTTGGGGAGCCATGTCATCTGCTGGTGTTGGTCCACTGTGTTTTATCAAGTCCAAAGTCAGCGCAGCCGTCTACCAGGAAATTTTAGAGCACTTCATGCTTCCCTCTGCTGACAAGCTTTATGGAGATGCTGATTTCATTTTCCAGCAGGACTTGGCACCTGCCCACACTGCCAAAAGTACCAATACCTGGTTTAATGACCACGGTATCGCTGTGCTTGATTGGCCAGCAAACTCGCCTGTCCTAAACCCCAGAGAGAGTCTATGGGGTATTGTCAAGAGGAAGATGAGACATCAGACCAAACAATGCAGACGAGCTGAAGGCCCCTATCAAAGCAACCTGGGCTTCCATAACACCTCAGCAGGGCCACAGTCTCATCGCCTCCGTGCCACGCCGCATTGATGCAGTAATTCATGCAAAAGGAGCCCCGACCAAGTATTGAGTGCATACTGTGTACTGTACATACAGATTTTGTTCTTATTATAAATGCTTTTATTGTTTCTGTTTTTACCATGTAAAGTGTCTTTGAGTGCCTTTTAAAGCGCTATATAAATATAATGTATTATTATTGTTATTATTATTATTATGCTCACCATGCAGGCGAGGCTGCTAGCAATTGTGGCGTTAGCATGTTAGCTTGTAGCGTTAGCATTATATATACTAACCCTAATACTGGCTTTCAACTGATAAATGTGGATGTGGTTTCTTAAGCCTCTAAAATCATGATATATTATTATTAGCACAATGTAGAGGACGAAAAATTGTAGTATTGCAAATCACGTTGAAATCTGGTCTAAGCGTGAACGTTTAACGTCTTTTCAACGGAAAAATGCTCACTGGGTTCATCAGTTCATCACTTGTGGACAACAGCGCGTGCTCTAGTAGTGAATCCTCCGTTGCTATATGTATTACACATCTTGAAATACAGTGATATAATGATACAGTGATCGTATAGTGGTGTTAAATTCATGTAAATAAAATAGCCGAAATAGAACAGTCTCTCTCTTACATGTATGAGGAGAAATACAAAAGAATATATAACCAAAAATATATTTATACAGATTTCTCACACTGGACTGTTACCTTTTTCATTTTATAATAACAATTCTATAACTGAGTAAACATGTAGACTATAGAAAATACTCCATCAGCATGTTTAAAATAGTATCACACTCTATAGAACATACTGTAACATACCTGCATTTATGACAAAGGACAACAGTTCATCAGTTCATCACTCGTGGACAACAGCACGTGCCCTGTTCAGAAAGACGGCATCACGTTAATGTTAGCTAGCTATACCGGAGACATTTTACTGGCAATAAAACACAGAGAAAACGTATAGTTAATTTAATGAAAACATGACTAATATAAACTAAGACAAATAATATACAACAAAATAAAGCCAGCTCAACTCTTTTGTACTTTTAAAGTTAGTTAACATTATATTGTCCACGGACATTCACGGACCCGTTACCTAGTAGTGAATCCTCCGTTGCTATGAGGATTACCCATAGTCCTTTGTGTCTTCTATTCAGTGCAGGTACAAATTTACAACAGCAGGTGGCGTAGTTTTCCCCATTTAGCGGGATTTAACCTGAACCTTTTCAACTATGTTACACTTAGGTCATCCTCCGTAATCGACAAAATCAGCTTCGACGGAAGTCTGAGTTTTATGCGCATGCGCTGTTAACTCGCATCTGCTTGAGCCGGTGGGAGCACTTTCTAGTCTAGTGCACTGTTTCCTCTTGGATATATGCACTAGATATTGAAAAATATTATTGTAATAAAGCTGGGAATAAATATCCAGTGTATACAAACTGAATTACTTACTGTGGTTGAGATGGCGACATTCCTCCTGTCTCCCTAGTGTTCATCGTCCTCCAAAAGTCTGGAGGGGACTCTCCTTCCTCTGCCTCTGCCTCGTGGACTCCTCGACCTGGTGGCGAAAAAAGCCGTCAAAAAAAACCCTCAAAAACTCTCAGAAACAACACTAATACTATTATTTACAACACTACAATATAATCTATGAACATGTTTGCATCTCAAACACCTTCCGATCAGAGCCAACGGGGAGATATTTACATCTCATTTTCCGAGTGGTGCCTCAGGTTTGAGAAAACTGTGGAAGGTATTTATTCAGCATTTAGGCTGACGTTTAGACTAAAAACCACAGGGTGATTTATCAAAATAAGATTTAAAAAACATGGTGGCAGGTTGCTGAACGATGACCTTGCTGTATTTTACAGGTGCCTGCCCGCCTGCATCCACATGGCTGGCGTCTTCGGGTACTTCTCAAGTCTCTTTGTCTCTTTCTCAAGTCTTCTTTGCGTCCCAGTTTCCCTCAATTGCGTCCTTTCCTTGCGTCTTAGGGTACATCCCAAGTCTCTTAATTGCATCCCCGTTTCCCTCACTTGCGTCTTAGTCCCTCCCACCAGGGATGCATGGAGGAAACCATGCCAGGAGAGAGGAACGAGGAAATATGTTTTAAAATACATGAGACGTCCTTTCCTCAGTTGCCTCATGTGGAGCCACGTCTGTTACTGATGACGAAGGATCAGCTGATCACAGCTGGATCAGCTGTCAGTCGGCTTTAACAGCTGGAGAGACTTTTGAGAAGTTTGTGTCTGTTCACATGATCACTGTACTTAATAACAGTAACTAATAATACTAATAACTAATAAAGACACAGTAATCACCACTGTAGAGGTGTTTCTCTCTGTAGTCTGTTAACAAACTGTGTCCTGTGTCCTGTTTATAAGCACAGGATCGATTTCCACCGGCAGAATGCGATTGTCTTATTTATGAATTATTTGTGTCTGTACGTTTTGAAATTGTGACTGTGGCGTCATTATTAAATAACCCAGAATATGATTATTGTTTCTCTTAAATGATAAAACTCATCAAACACTCAGGAATGATGTAAAAAGTGTTTCGTCTCTCCAGCTCTCTCTCTGACTTTAATTGTTTTCATAATAAAAGTTATTGAGGGAAATATCAGATTATGAAAACACAAATCTTTCTAACAAATGAAGAAAGTTGTTTGTGGTCGTTTTGTTGTTCAGACTACAATGAACATTTATTTAAACCAGATGGTGAATCACAAACCTAATCAAATATAAATCTTGAGTTTATTCTGTGATCTGTCTTCACTCTGGTGTTAAACTCCAGTCAGTCAGTCCGATCGGCTGCAGCGTCCAATCACATGACTGATGAACAATGAGGGGGCGTGTTGGCCGTTAAAACACTTCCTGGAAGTCTGTTCTCGTGCGTCCTCGCTCATGGCTCCTCCGAGGTCCCTCCTCCATCCTCGATCCTTGCTCCTGAGAGCTAAATAAAAGGGCCAAATCCCAATGTCCCCCCTAAACCCTCAAACCCTGAACCCTCAAGGACTTACTGACGTCACCTGGTAAGTGGGTGAGTGTGAGAGACTGTGAGGGCTTGAGATGGTGTAAATAGGAATGGGACAGCACTTTGCTGCAACATATCACGTTACCATGAAAACGACAAAAAATATGATGTATAATTGTGTGTATTTATTTTATTCTTTGTACTCCCTGAGTTGAAAGTCTTCCAGGCTCTTTTCTCACAGGATATATATATATATATATCATATGAACCACAGGAGAGGTTCATATAATATATTTACTCGTTTTATCAAAACAGCTTCAATGACAAAATCAAATATTTGATGAATAAATAAATAAATATCTTCTGATTTCATGTTTATTTTTTGTTCCATCTTTAACCCTTAATGTTTCTGAGTAAATTTATTAAGACAGGCTGAACACACGTGAGCCCTCCTCTTTGTTTACCTTTTTTTTTACTTCTCCATGCGTCCACTGTTTACCCCGTGTTTAACGTCACATTGCAATGATTTGTGGGTAATTCCCTTAGGCTATGTCAGCATACCATGCTGACTTACGGAAAGGGTTCATAAAGGGCTCAAAATGTCTGCGAGAGAGCCCTCAAACACTTGACGATTTGACAGTGGGACAGCCCTAAACCCTCACGGACTTCGCGGGAGCGCGCCTCAAAGTCCGTGAGTCCGTAAGCGGGGACATTTGGATTTGGCCTAAGAGACTTGAGAAGTACCCTTCGTCTACGGCACCCTGAAGAAGGGGCAGCCCAACTACCACCGTATGTTGGAGTGCGCCAATGGGAAGGCGGAGTTCCTCGCCTCGGCCTGCACCACCGAGAAATACCCGCTGGTGATCGCCAGCCACTACAACATCCCCTTCCTCCTCAACGTCCCCGGCCAGGGCCACCGAGTCCAGGGAGAGATCTATAGAGTGAACGACAAGATGCTCGAATTCCTGGATGACTTCGAGGAGGTTCCCACCCTGTACCAGCGGGCTCGGGTCAGAATGGAGGTGAAGGAGTGGGTGGGCGAGACCGAGGGGGAGGAGAGGCCTGCGGCAGGCAGCTTCACCGAGGCGTTTCTGTACAGCACGACTACCTACCAGTCAGACTGGCCCACGCTGCCCCGCTACGAGAGCTACAACTCGTGTAGGGATCATGGGCTGCAGTACGTGGCCAGACAAGAACGGGACTGAGATGAGAGGACCCAGAGAAGAACATGTTACATTCACACTCACATATGTTGACTGATAGATCAGCTTTTTTTATTAATAGTAATAATAAATGTTAGTACTAGTCAATATGCAACTTTTTAATTGATTTGTCTCATTGTAAATTGTTTAAAAAGTTTAAACTCATGTTTGTTTTACCCTCCAGTTGCACATATTTGCAACGCTCAGCGGGCTAAAAGGCACTTTGATAATAAAAGTCATGCCACACCTAAAACAGGTCTGTGTTAACCGTTCTTTTTAACAACTCTTACCGTATCATCTAGCATTCATTTGGTGTTCATCACTGTTCCCGTGATGATTGGGCATCACTGAAGAACTGCAGCAGTTTCACCTCCACTGCTTTTCTTCTGTATTTGAGATTTCTCCTGAAATGTTGCTTGTGGTTTTCCTGTGAGGAGTCGTCCCATCTGCGGTTCTGTCCCTTCTGAAAGCTAGGGACCAAATTTCATATGAACGCAATCTTTTCTCATCTTTATTTAGAATAGTAAAAGAGTACAGAAGAGAAGGTATTTGGCAAACGGACCAGTGAAATCTCTGTTGGCGCTGGAAGCCGTTTTGAAGCTATTTGTCCTTTTAAACAAAGCAAAACCGACTGGAAACATGAAAAAGATGCATTTCACAGTGTATCAAAGTACTGTACAAAAAGTCACCTTACAAAAAGAAAAAGATGGATGTTTCCTAATTGTGACCAAACTGGCGTCACATTGAATTAATCGAATGATATTTAGAGATCGCCACGAGTGCGTTCACATGCACACAGTTTAAAATCCGGGTTTAGGTCTTATTCAAGCTTTTGTTTATACATGTTTTACTCTCATCACAAATGTGTCGTCACACAGGAATATTTACCAGGCAGACATAAAATGCAAAAAGAAAACTGTGCACAAACCCATGCTTCAGTGTCCCAAATACTTCTGGAGAGTCCCATGAAAATCATTCAGGTTTATCATGAAGATAAAAACCTCCTTTTTGTAAACATGATACGTGTTTGGGGATGAATATTTAATCTGTTTGTGAACAACACTTAATGGCACCAACACAAAAATGAAAGGAAAAGCAGAAGGACTGTGTGCTGCCAGTTTGGAGAAACAAATACATTTTGAATGACATCGTGGGCGACTGCCATCACAGACACTAGTGGTGCAGAAAGTGTAATAAGAGGGACGGTGTGGGAGGATGTGTGTGGGAGTGAATCAGCTCTTCAGGGGTAGTCAAAGTGATTCTGTGTCTATAGTGAGAGTCTGTTCTGGTGTTTGTGCGCTCTGAAGTCCAGGTCTCGACCCAGGCGAGTGTCTCTCTGTGCAGGTTCATCAGTAAAGGTCTTTCCTGGTGCTCGGCAGGGAGCGGCTGGCAGAGCAGGTGGCACTGCGGATCACCTCCATCCACCTGGAGACGAGACACATATATTTATTACTGAAGTGCATACAACAGGATATGGATATTTGAGTGCTAAAATACAGGTACAAATATTTTTGTATTATTTCAACAGGTGGGTAACCAATGTTTAGGTACAATGCTGTGCCATTAAGGTGCGAAAAACAAGCTTTTGTCCTATGTTACAAACATAAACCTTCTTTTCCTGACATAGCTAAATCAAAATGGAAAAAAAGAAAATTCTGTGTTCTGTTGATTTGAAATGGTGACTGTGAATGTATAATATAATAGCGACCTTTCAAAGGTGTACTCGCTCTCTGATCTGAAGTAGTAGACGTGGGATTTGAAGTGGAGTTTGAAGACGTAGTCTTTGTGGATGTTCTCGGACGGGACGGTGACGGAGTAGCCCAGCAGAGGAAGGCTGGCCAGAGGGTAGTCATCCTGTGAAGAGACGAGCCAGAAGTCATCTTTATGCATCAACATGTTACGACCTGACCACTTTTTCATTTTCACTGTATCTATATGCATCTAACCTGGTGTGACTTGTAGAAGAAGAGGCTGAAGTTGGTGAAGACCACCCAGAGTTTCTGCCAGCCGTTACTGTTCTTAAACTTCCTCAGCAGGTTCCCTGACAGCTGGTTCTGGAAGAGAAAGTGAATCAACAAAAGACACGCAAGGCCAAATAAAGTGACACCGATTCCATAATAGTGTTAGAAACGGGGAGGGGGGGGAGAGACAGGATTTGTTCTGTTTGTCCAGTAAAAAAATTACTTCTACTGTGATAGTAGACACCATCTGATAACTTGTACTGTGATAGTAGAAGTTATCGGATGTAATAATCGAATTACTTCTACTGTGATAGTAGAAGTAAGATGTTGCCTACTATCACAGTAGAAGTAATTAGATTATTAGAACATCTGATAACTTGTACTGTGATAGTAGAAGTTATCAGATGTTCCAATAATCTAATAACTGAATGTAGAGGAACAAATGAACGGAGCTGCTGCCTCTGCCCCATTAGCTCATGTTATAAAACTGTTCATTTAGAAAGCAGCGAGAACACCTTTTATTATGTTCACTATGTTTCTGGGAATTCCTAATCTGCAATTTGGGCTAAATTATTATTATTTTTTTGACACATTAAGCTTGAAATCAGGATAGAGCTGAGAATTAGGGTGAGAGTGTTGCAAATCTTCCAAGTCAAGGGGAGGATTCAAACAAAACTATAATAACCATAACATAAGCACAGCAATCATTTGTGTCAAGTCTCTAATAAGTTACGTACGGCTGATTTGAAACTGTTGCTGTTCATTTACAATCCATCTATTAACATGTGGGCACGGCAACGAGCAGCAGGTTTGAATCCCTATCAGTGTGTGTAAATAGTGAACACTTTGGGTCTGCGAGTGTGTGTGTGTGTGTGTGTGTCATTGTTTTTGTCCCTTTCCAGGAACAAATTTCACCGGTCAGTTGGTCAGCACAAAGGCCACATGCTGCGCTTCATAACAACCACTGTTCCTCTCTCCATTCATGTGTTTTCTTCTCCTCCTCAGTCTGTGTAATCACTATGGAAACAAATAATACATAAAGGAAGTGGGAGATTTGTACTCTTCTTGCATTAGACTTTCTTTACAAATAGTTAAAACGCTTATTTTTTTCAAGTTTTGTTTCCTTTTCTTTCCTTATCTCCAGGTTTTCCATGACTGTGGAGTCTCTGTCTCTCTCCCGTCATAAACGTGACTCCGGGCAACTGTACGGTAGAGATGCCGTACGGATACCAACCCCGCATGAGGGGGCTTTACATCGCCACCGAGCTCGTCATCGCAGTGCTGGCCATCATCTGCAACTTCCTGGTCTGTCTGGCTGTCAGCCGCAACAAAAAACTCTGCACTGTCACCAATTACTTCCTGGTGAGGAAACCTGTTTCGACCCCATCTAAAATGTGACATACGAACCTGTGGTTTGAGGAAAACTACGAGCAGATATCTAAAGGACCAAAAGTGTGTTTTACTCTGTGAAGGTATCATTGTCAGTGGCGGATATCCTGGTGGGCTTGGTGGCCATTCCCTGCGCAGTGCTGACAGACCTGGGTCGACCTCACCATGACCTGCCCCTCTGCCTGGTGCTGCTCAGCATCCTGATGGTGCTCACACAGGTAGGAGCATCTAACCTGGTGGCTTTGGGGATCGATTGCCGGTTGGAATCCTGCAGGGCAAGAGCGCCACCTATAATGTCCCTTAATACAGAATTGATCAAACCTTCGACCTACGAAGGTTTCTTTTATTTTGTGTTTATGCCAAGGAACTAATATATTTTCCCATCATGCTTAACACTCTGTAGTGCAGGGGTCTTCAACGTTTTTCAGGCCAAGGACCCCCAAACTGTTAGAGAGATGGAGCAGGGACCCCCGACTATATATATTGTATAAAATTGTGTTTTATATTAAACTGGGCCTGGTGCCATGTATAAACATACTTCTTTATTGTGCATTCAATACTAAGCTATTCAAATAATACACAGGTTCATATATTCATGTTTTTATTTTAAACATGTGCAAGGTACAGTGAGTAGGGAGGCCGTGCCACTGCCTTTTATAAACATACCTTGTCAGCTGATACCAATGCCAATATCAATATTTTCTGTCAATTGCATGATAATCATGCATACAAGATATTCACATTGATGTTTTCATTTTAAACATAAATGTGGAAAACAAAATGAGTGATGGCCTATTAGTGCCACTGCCAAAAAATAAAAAATTGTCCAATCATCCAAATATTTCGCGGACACCCTAGGGGGTCACGGACCCCCTGTTGAAGACCTCTGCTCTACTCCCCCCGCCCCCCATACTTGGTCTGACCCAATGACATCACGGATGACATCATCCAGTGTATAAATAGAGGAAATGGTTGGGTGCCTCCCCCTTTAGCCTCTGGAACACATGGTACTTAATGCACAGGACCCACATCATATGTCGGACCTTCGATGTAACATAAATTATATCAGAATTAAGTTAACATCCTTTATGTTGAGTGCAAATGACCAAGCTAACTCCATCTAACTAAACTCAGCTTGTTGATTTGATTGCTAAGAAATTCAATCATGTGGCTACGAAAATCAAATGACTCGACACGGTAACGTGGTTCGAAAGAAAGATAACAATATCAAATATGATCCTCTCAGCAGCTAAAGGAGAGTACGGTCCGCTAGCTAAAGTTAGCTGAAAAGTGGTTGCATGCATGCTAGCAGCATGCGGTGAACACCAAGTAATGTATCGGCAAAAAAAAAAGGAAAATTCAACACAAAATGGCAAAACTAGGTAAAGCAAACTTTGATTACATGTGAATTAAGTAAACCTTAAATAAATTACCTTGTTAAGTAAACCTATCTTGAATATAATCATGGGTCCATGATATTTAATGCCTATTTTTCTAATTTCTTTATCATGGGTTATGAACGTTAAAAAATACTGTAGTATATGCAAGATTGGACAGTAGCTTGCTGTTGATCATTTTTTTCTCCCAAAGGCATCAACATTTGGTATATTCAACTGTATTCAACTGTTTATATGAAGAACAGTACATTACTGTCTAGAATTTTTTAGCGATTTGTGATGGTGTGTTTTAAAAATTACAGGCGTATTATTGACAAGGAGCCGATGGTGTCTGGTCCCAAATGTCAACCGTAAAATGGCCTCACTCTATCGCCATGACAAATCACTCATGAGTAGATATCCTCATATCCAACGGTACAAAACAACACGACTGTTATTCCACAGTGAAAATCTGCAATTACAAATTACATTTGATCGAGGAAGATTGTTCACTCTATGTGAGGGTTGGGTGATAATACCAAACTGAATAATAGCACCTAATATACTACATCCAAAGACTATATAGATTTTCACGTCTTGAACTTAAAATGCCCTTAAATTAGGATTAAACAGCTTGTCAGCTACAAGCAGAAGCATGTGACCTTTAGGCTGCACACATACTGTCAAACTGTGCTCATTTGATATCATCTGAATCCAAACTTCGCGGAAAATCCATCTGGATGTTAGTGGGTACAAACCAGTTCAATCCATCACGGTTCCTCAAACATGTCTGTGTGTGCCAGTTGAAATGGTGAGTTGTTCCGTCAGCCTATAATGCATAAATGGCTTCATACATAATTCAATTCACAGAAAACACAATTTGCGTAATGTGTTTTTTTGTCATTTTTAGTGGTCCTGTTATCACTGAAGCAAATGTGAATAATTACAGAACGTGGCCGACTGCACTTGTAGGCTGTAGCCTTGTGCTGTCGGTGCGTTCCTCTAGTGAGGGTGCGGGCAGTGAGACTGGTGCCTGGTGGCCCGACGACCATTTTCTAATTCACAATAAAAATAAATTGATTCACAATGAGATTTTTTGTACTATTAATGTAAATAAGGTGCCAGACTGCAAACAGAAAAAATTTAAATCATCTAATAGAGGCTGTTAATCAAAAAACTGTTTGTTTACTGTCATTTTGCAAAAGTGGCCCCCGAGCAAAGCAAGTTGAGGATCCTCTGGTGTTCGGCTAATAAAGCAACCCAGTCGCCCGAAAAGCATTTTGGCATTGTACCTTTCTGCAAAGCACTGGATGAGATGAATGTTGACATTTCTCAACCCCAACTATTTTTAAATAAATGTTTCTTATCACGCTTGCAGAAACGCACAATGACATTTGGTTATCATTGTGAAACAATTTGTTGGGTTTAGGAAACAAAACTTGTTTATGGTTGGAAAAAAAGATCATGGTTTGTGTTTAAATATTAGCATAACATCGTAACTAGACTAAATAAAATACTCATTTTTATAGCATGTAACCTTTTTAAAAAACGTTTGCGCGATATGATTTGTCACTTGCTCTGCATGAATGCAAACTGTCCACATTCCAACAAAAAAAAGTATTCAATATATTTATTTCCTTCTCTTTAGGAAATCCTGTAGCTTACATGGTTTTGACACATGACTCATGAATTATCACCGATTAGAATCTTTTATATAGTATTTATTTTTACAAGTAAGACATGACTCATAATAAATACTAATAAAAATGTTTTACATTTTGTACCACGAAAGAGTGTGTTAAATGAGGTGGTGGTTTAGACCACAACTTTAAGCCTACGTTACAATACAGTACAATGCATTCATGAAATGTAGAAGGAAGAAGAGAGGGTCCTAAAAGTAAGCTTTCTTGTCTTAACAGTTCATCTCAACCAACTTTTCCATCATGTGACGCCATTTTCCTGGAGGCGGAACCACGGACAGATAAATCCCTCGCAGGCGCTGAGTCGGACACTTTGACGTGAAGCACAGACGAAGTCGGAAGCATAATGTGGCTGCAGTCCGTGCTGCTGCCTCTCCTCAGGCTGTACCTCTGCGGAATGAAAGTTCTCTTCTATCAGATGTTCAACAGATCTTTCACGCTACCAGGTAAAAATCAATGTATATGTTATTTAGTAAATGATATTCTTTGAAGTTATAATCTCCCGGCATGCACATTATGTGCCGTTTCCATGCGGATCTCCGTTAGGAATGGGACTGTTTACATTTATACGATCGGTATGATATCGCGTTAGTTCGTCATAATCTTCCAACAAAATAAATACTGATGAATCAAATCTAAAGAACGCGACTGTAGTGAAGAGAGATGCTGCCGGAGGGACCGTGGGATTGTGTAAAGTGTGGATGTTTCTCACCTTCACATTTTTAAAAAGTCTTAAAACAATAGTCAGGTATGAACATCGTGTTAACTAGTCGGATATCATATAGCCAATGCATGACTGGAAACTAAGTCTGTCTGATATTGTGTTGAGTTCCAGCAGTCATCATGTCAGCTTTGAAGGCACTCACTGGGCTTTGTTGGATGACTTGATTGAAATCCTTCAGCCTTTTAAAGTTGTGGCGAACATGATCACTTCTTGTAGGTACCCAACCATCAGCATGGTTCCGCCCGTGCTTCATATGCTGCTGAACACCACCCTCAAGGTCAAGGACGGGGACCTCAAATAGATCAGCACGACCAAAGAGATCATCTCAAAGGTCCTATCCAGCACCTACTCACAGGATACACCGCCGTCGCAAGACACGGCAACGTGCTATCTATCGGCCATGAGCTATGAGACATTAGACTAACGTTTCTACCACACAGCAGTGTCAGATCAAACAGCTCACAGTTATAGGTCGGAGGATCGGAAGACCTGGGTACATGGGTTCAATCCTTGTGAGTTGCAGTGACATTTTAATGTGCAAAGAGCTCTGCCAAACAGTAGACTATCCTTTCTGATCAAATAGCTCAGAGTGACAGAAGACCTGAGGTGCGTGTGTTTTTGTTTGATTATTATAAGGTGCAGTGCTTGTTGACGTCCAACATTCAAAATGAATAAGTCAAATCCACAAATACCACATCTCTGTTTATGCATTGGTGGCACGATAGATTTGTTCCCGACACAAAGAAGTGCCTGTTTCATAAACAATAGGCTTGTTTTGGACATACGATGGCTTTTGTATGACTTACTATACTATGACCTTTTTCGACATGTCTGTCTTCTTGCACAACATGACAAATCCTGTCCTTTTCCTCTGCCAATTATCACAAATGTGAACCAATAATGACGTCACACATTATATTCAGGTCATTTTATTTGCAAATGCAGGTTTGTTCGGCTTGTTAACACAGCGTTTAAATACACGTAAAGGAGGCATAGACATTATAAAGCAGCAGTCTTGTTGCCTATTTTAACAAAGTTCCGAGCTGCGTAAAGGGATCATATGTACATAATAGAAACATTGCGACAGGACATAGGTGATTAATACAGGCGTGTATAACCACATTGTTGGCAACAAATGGAAAACCGGGATCATATTTACAAATTTAGCTACTGCTAATGCTGAGAAGCGTTTGAAATGTGTGTAGTGTAAAAAGACTCATAACAATGTACGTCGTTTATGACCAAATATTTAGAGAACAAAGACTCGACACAGAAAAATCTAATCGGCGTTGGCAAAAAGCAATTCAGTGGAGACGACACAAAAAAGCACAGGCGTTAAGTAAGTTCTTACAATTTTCCATTAAAACCCTTAATAGTGAATAACTACATGGCTTTGACAAAATTTGGAGCATATCAGTAACATGGAGTGATGGTTCTAAACCGTTATACAAGCTGTTCTTTTGGTGTAAAAAGCAAAGTCACAGTGATTACATTTACATTACAGGCCTTGTAAAAAAACAATGTTCTTATTATGATCAAGGACAATACAGGAACAGAGTGACCGTGATGCAGCAGAAAGCATCTGCGTTTAACTAATCTCAGGTTTGTTTAATAATAGAAGTAATCCTGACACTGCGTAGCCATTTAATCTATAAGTTCCATTGATTCATTTTGAATGAGATTCTGCTTGTTCATGATAAAAGAAGGCAACTCCAGGTAGCTTAAATTGGCATATTTTAACTTTGACCTAACTTAGCTCCATTATGCATTCGATACCAAGACAATCAGTTTGGACTTTCATAAATGTATTGTTGATCATGTAAATCTGATGAACACATTCCCTTAATGGCAATAAGCTCTCGGTAAAGTTTAAAATGTAACTGTTCTACCAAAAAGCAGTCATGCATTTAAAGGTGCAGAGTATAAAACAGAAGTTTAGAGATTTGACCTGCTGCATGAATGTGCTCCAGTAACGATCAGACATAAGATTCTTCAGCAAACAGAAGCTGGTCAAAGTCTGCTTCTGCTGTGGGGTCACTGCATCTCTTCAGCCACTCCCTGCGACTCTCCACCAGTGCGAGCGTCACCTGTTGGCTGCTCTGGGGGTTAGCGCGCGGGTGAGAGGAGAAGTAGTCCCTCACTGCATTGGTGGCATTGGGAGAAAGGCAGGAACCTACCTCAGAGACCTCCAGTCCTGGGTCGCTGGGCAGCCTCGCCCGTGTGAAGGCGGAGGCTCGGTCCACAACCTGCCTCCCAGGTTCTGACCCCCGGCGCTTGTAGAGCTTGGCGTCGCATCCCTCCTCCACGGAGTGAGACTTGTGTTGCTTGAACAGGGACAGAGACGGTCCACTCTGCTTAAAGAATAAAGATGGCGACGGTTGCTTCCGCTCATTCACTTCCCTTTCAGCCGCGTGGGTGTTGGTGGTGTTGAGCTGCACAAAGGTCAACGGGTAGTCTGATGAAGGGAGCCAGGGGGACTTGGGAAATTGTAGACTCCCTGTAGAGCGGTGGTGGGAAGGGGGGCTGGATGAGTCGTGTTTAAGATGTTGGAGCTTGTGGGGCTCCTGGCCAGACCTCCCCTTCACATGGCGTCCTGCATCTTTTGAGGCTCTGCAGGATGTTTTGGCCTTGACTTGGCTGCTGGACATTAGTTTTGCTTTTCCTTTCTCTGGGACATGTTTCCCAAATGTACGCGACTTATCGGTGGATCCTCCCTGTTTGTAGAAACAGATATTATTAAGGTCGTTGGGAAAAATTGCCATATGGCAAACATCAGATAAATAAACTGGCAACTACAATAGCAACAGAATTAAATAAAAATTCAATGAGATCTATTTAAAGAGAATTTCCACATGCAAAGGTCCAGAACATCTCAATCATGCCCAACTTGCACTACGATTTAGTCTGTTAATGTCAAATCAATTCGAGAAAGTTCAATTTACCTAAATGTTCTCTCGTATCAAGTATAATAAAGGCTGCATTAAAGAACCCCTGGTAAAGCATGTTGAAAATAGATCCAAAAAGTCAGAGCGTAGTATTTTGAAAAAAAACTCACCTCAGTCTTCTCCTCCGCTTCCTTCTCCGAGGTGTCTTGTTGGGTTAGTGACAGCCTCCGGCCTTTCTTCAGCCAAGAGTTTGGGTGGAGGCCCCTGCAGCCTTTTAAGGTCCCCCAGTTGAGTGCTTCTTTTGGAGGGGAGCCTTTTTTAAAAGTCCCCATGTCTAGATGTCCACCAGCAGAACTTATCGTGAAGGGTTTACAGGGTACAGAGGAAGGGGGGGAACTGGAGGGCAGCTGTGTTTTGGTTGGGTAAAGCCCACGTCTGGACTCCCAGGTGACGTCACTGCTTGGGGAGCGCAGGGAGTCGAGAGAGTCCAGGGAGGAGCGGGTCTGTGCAGGGGAGGTCGGGGCGGAGGACAGGCTGGGGGAGCTCACTTCCAGAGCGGCGGGCTCACCTCTGGAGTGTGTGAGTGCGTGGCTGCTAGGTTTGTTAGAGAGACCATCAGTACCCCCTGAAACACCCGGCCGAAACTTGTATGCTACAGCTGGAGCTGAGCGTCGCCGCTGTTTGTGCCGACCATCCAGGGACAGCAGTTCCAGGGTGGAGGACGTGTCCACAGTTGGCTCATCCTGGCTAGGTCTTCTACCGCTGGTTCTCCCCAGCGGGTGTAACTTCAGATCCTGCGGGCTGTCGGTTTGGGTCTGGTTATCTGGGTCCGTGTCTTGGTCACAGTCGCTGAATGTGAGGATGGAGTCCAGGCTGCCTTGTTGTGTTTTGGGTCTCATGTGTCTTCTGCTGCAGAAGCCCTGGGAGCCGCCGCTGCTGCAGTCCAACTCGTTCTCCAGACTGTCGTAGGATGAGTCCGTCAGAGGGTACAGCCAGGAGTCTGAGACGTGAATGAGACAGATGTAGGAAGCAAACTACATTTATATTATTTTAATAAACAATCAAATTAAAATAACATCCTCCGACTTCTAGTCCTTGTCACTTTGTTTGTTTTTATCTGCCGAACACGTCAAAATGCCTCTTTTCTCTTCCTGTAAAAATAATGTTTGATGACTCATCCTGAACTCTATATATAATAAATATATCCATTCAAATGGGATTTGGGCTAAAATAAAAGTAAAACTGCTCATGGAGCAGACCACGCTGCGTCTCTAAATGTATGCAGGAGATGGAACGGTTACAGACATGAACAAAACCATTCGTCATATATTTGTACCTGATCCCGTCTCGTCGGTGTTGAGTCTCTGTGGCGGCCCACCAAACAGGGAGGACGGATCCTCGCCCACAATCTGCTGACAGTGTTCAATCATAAACTTCACCAGCTCACAAACCTGAGGAAGACAACGGTTGATATTAAACTACTGTAACAGCTGAGAGTGAACTGAGTTAGCATTTCTCAATGTCTAACCGACTGTAGTGTTCCACACTTTCCAAGGCTGCGTAGGAGCTATGTCCTGCTTTCTGAAACAAAGTGCTTTTGCAGTGACGTTTTCGTCCACACAACAAAAAGTCAAAGTGTTCTAAACTTTGACGCTGATCTCTTTCTATAAAGCTGATCTGAGACATTCCTGAGAGGAGCTTGATGTGCTTTTAGAGGTGTTACAATGAGCTCGTTAGCGCGGGGATTAACCAAGATCTTGTTTTAAAAAATAACATTCAGTTGACAGCTTGTGTGAACGATACCGATGACATACATTCACAAACCAGAGTATTGGAAGTGTTCCTGATCCCAGGCCAGCAGTGGTTCATAAGCTAAAGGTGTCCATCTCGTTACCTATTATATCTTTGGTTTTTATGGCATGCAGACAAAACTAATAAACTTCTCTTCGTCACTGAGTGGTGGCATGGCTTAGACTTACTAAATTGTGTTGCAACATTAGAACAACTCTAAATGGCATTGGTAGCCAAAGTTACAGATCTGGGTCAAATTCCACCATGCATTCGCTGTTAGTGATATTTCCTTCTTACCTTCTTGGTTCCTTCTCCCTCCACCTCAGGGCTACAAGGGGCTCCAGGAGGCCAAAGCATGCTGGGAGCGATGCACACCGACAAATTGAAAGTCGTCATCTGGTTCTCGTGGGCGTTGCCCTGGATGCCGTGCAGCATGGCCAACAGGTAGCGCAGCAACACGGCATTTTCTTTGGGCAGGCGGTAAATCATCCTGCAGAGATACACAACCAGGGAATACAATGATGTAACAGTCTGTAGGTGAAGATCAGCCACATGTTCAAGCATCTGGAAAAACATGCTGTGTCCAATAATTTAACGGAAGGATAAATAAAACCATATAGAGTGTGAGCATGTTACCTCTTTATGTCCTGCACTTGTTCTTCCTCCTCCTCCTCCTCTTCCTCCAGCACATCCATCCATTCTTCATGCAGCTCACAACAGAACAAGCTGCTTGGGATGCTGCGCAAGAAATCCTGAAAACATGCGCACATCACATTAAATTCATTGTTTGTATTTCCAGGAGAGTTGGTGTAAAACCTTTATCACTTGGTATAAAAGAGATTTGATTGAGACAATATCAATACAACCATTAATATAAAAGATCTCCGGTGCTGTCGTGTAAATATGCGACATGCACTCGTGCTCAGAGGCTCTTTGTTATCCCTCCAGATAATAAGAGATTATAATCCAGGCTGCTGTGAACAGCTTGTCCTGGTAACATAGCCGGGGAAGCGGATTCGTTTTGTGCTTACTGATTTGAGTCAATAAGGTGACGAACACATGCACGCCCTCAAAAACTGTGCCACTACGTTGCTAGATGTTTCTAAAACCCCCTGGTCTCATTAAAGATGAATATGAAGATGAAGGGGCAAAGTGCTTTTTTGAATAATCCACCTAAAACATACACGCTCATACTGTCTCACCTTAAAGACTCCGGCAATGAGGAAGACGTGGTCTCTTGTCAGAGGGAGTTGAAACTCTCCGGCGTCCAGAGAGTCCCGCAGCTCCCTGACGGCCCGAGCGCCCGCCGGCCGTCGGAAGATTCCCCGCGTCCACGAGCCCTCGTGGTAGAGGAACGCCATCATGTCCTGGTGAGAGCGGGAGAGAGGAGGGTGTATTTCTTGCTTTTTCTTTACAGAACTGAGTGAGACTCACCATCACTGGCTTTGGCAGAGCGTCCTCTACGCAGACAGAGCTGAGCGGCAGGCCGAACAGGCAGCCGCGTGGCGCGCCGGCGAGGGACAGCTCATTCAGGTGAGGGGAGGAGCCTCTCCAGAAGGCCCAGGTGATGAGGGAACGCCTCCTTCTAAATGGCTTCTGAGACCACTCTAACAACCAAAAGATGACACGATATCCCAGAATGCATCAGCAAAAACACTCAATCTGCTATTTTTATCACTTTCTTTTCAATGAATGAATAGTGACATCACCTGCAGGTATGTGCAGCGTTTCAATGGGTCGCGGCTTCATGATGAACTGGCACTGCTTGTACACCTGCATCTGCTCCACCTGCATGGCCCTCTGTCCGTCGGCATCCCTTCCGCCGCCTCCCGGAGACATCGTGTGTCTCACATGACTCATCTGGATGCTGAAGGGAAACTCATGACCTGAGACAGGAAGGAGAAGACGGCAGCATCACTCCCTGGAGGCCTTTGATAGAGTATCAAACATCAACAGCACCATAACGTGGTATTATTAGTCAGCGCACACGCTGTGACCCCCTCGCTGCCACCCTGAAGGAGGCCGATTACACAGCAAACACTCTTCTCTGGGAATGACTGCTTACGAGTGTGTTTAAAAAAACCGCCTTGACACTTAGAGCAGCGCCCCCCTTTCAGAAGCAGAAAGAAAAGGCCACGCAGCAATTTAAAGACAGGATCAGATATTTTGTCGATCTGGTCTAGACCTCACTCACTGACCAATCAGAGGGTAGGGGGCGTTGTCCCTCTTGGAGATGACCCACAACTGGAAGTCTTTCACGTTTCCCTGAGCGAAACAGAGACACAGACGGTCAGAAAAACAAGCCGTGCAACGAGACGGCCTCAGAGAAAGAAAACAACCACACGGACTGTCCCTCTGAGGAGAAATGAATTTTTAGGAGACGCAAATGTGACAAAGAATGTTTTTTCTCTCAGCTTTTACATGCTGTGTGGTAATATCACATGTAACAATAGGCTGCAGGGCTTCTGTGAAAACTTCCCCCTCTGTTGTTCTGTGTTTGGGAGTTGAAAATAAATCGGATAACTTTTTGGACGATAGTCTTTTTTTAAACTTCGACACAAAATCTGGATACAGATCTCTTAGAGATTAGTTTTCATGGTGACCAAGATGCTTACTGTTGGACAAATGTGACGCTACCTCAAACACAGCTTAGCATTTCTATACTGACAATACCTACAAATATAGAGATACAATTAGGTTGGTAGAATGTGTTTTTAATCTCATTCACAAAAGACTGTTTACTTTTATGTAATAAGCAAAAACGCTTTTCTTTTTTTCTTATTTGGTGTCACGTGCATCTTCGCTCATTCAGCAAAAATATTTGACCTAAACAGCTGATCAGTTGTGTTTAGAATCAGTCTCAGTATAAAAACACCTACAGCCTTTCACAAACAAATGATATGTTTCATTTGACGCCTTTATGGTAGTTCTTGTGTCCACATTCTCACCACTAACACACCGACTAAGCATATATCACACTTAATGAAAGCAGGAGCAGATTCACTCACTATGATGCTGAACTGCTGCAGGGCCAGTCGGATCACCTCATTGGTCGAATCCGAGTTGCTGACCGGGAGCATCTTGGTCTAATAGGGGGAGAAGGACATATGTGGTGCAAAGTCAACAGCACAACAGAGACTCATTTAATCACTGGAGGTGGTCAACAAAGTTGAATATATATAGAATCTTCATAACGTCAAGATCACAGCAAGTAAAAGTAGATCAAACATCAAAGTCAACTTACAACAGCAAAGGTATTGATTCCCTTCCCGTACACTCTCAGAGGAATGGTTTTAGGTTCCTCCCTCTCTTTCTCTTCTCTTATGCGACTGCAGAGAGAGGAAACATGACGCGTCACTTTTCTCGGCACATTAAGTGGACACGCTTTATATTGATGCATGATGGCGGACTTTACCTTTTGAGGAGGGGGAGCCATCTGTCCTTCAGTTCTGCCGAGCTGAGCGGGAGCACGGAGGAGATGTTATTGAAACGGATTTGAATTTCAGGTTAAGCTCACCCTGCCTGTTTTCTGTTCATTTGGCATTCGAGGTCAAGTTTACAGCATCAGCGATATATTTACAGCTGGAACGTAAACACGTGTACGTTCCAGCTGTTTACGTGAGGCAGCAAGAACGTAAACCTGAACAAAGTTTGGAGAAAGCTAATGTTTGAGGTCAACCGTGTCACTTGTAATCCCATTAAAACATCTCATTACACTCAGTCCAGTCAGACCTTCTGAGCATCGTGGTGTTAAAAGACATGACACATCAGAGATGACGACATTGGACGAATTCATAGTCTTAACATGTGTGTGTTACCTGAACGTAGCCGCACAGTTACAGGTGGGCCAGCCCATAACGAAGCTCCTCTCTGGGTGCGTGCTCCCCTCACACACCTCGTCCATGCAGTCCGCCGTCCACATCTCACACACACACACCTGGGTCTTCAGCTTGAAGTGATTGGCCGACCTGTGTAACGCAGAGAGACTGACGCCACACTTGGACCCAGGTATTGACTAAAGGGCACGAGGAGCAGCCAAAATGTTCCTCACACAAGGATAACGACACACACACACACTTGTGCTTACTTGGCTTTGGCGATCACCAGCATGTCATTGAACAGGAAGAGGTGTCTGTCCTGGGTCTGCATCCCGGTCTTCAACTGAGCGTGTCCGTGGAGAAGGAACGACCTATCGGAGCCGCTGAGGTAGGACTGGACCAATGAGCAGGTCTCTGGGCACACAGGAACCAGGAAGCTCTCTCTGGGATACAAACACATGGGGCCAAAGTCACTGGTTATTCTTATTTTACATGTTCAAATATGCTGTTTTTGAAATATTCAGCTGATCAGAAATACCCTCAATACTTCAAAAACTATTTGGGTTTCCTGGACAATAAAACAAGCTACTTCATATGTACTTATGTGAATCATCAAAGCTTGTTTTGGGATCGATAGAATATTAAATTTACATCTCAGAGCACATTTCCCATAAACCCCTTTGCTTCATGTTACAAAGAGGATAATTGTATTTCTGTTAATAATAGTAACTGTACCAAAGTCTACTCTAACATGTGGCGTTCTTTCATCATGTTAAAATACTACAGGTTGCTCCTTCAAAAGTCCTCTCAGTGCAAAGAGAATATTCTCTATAGTATGTAAAGATTCGTGACGCTATCGATATGTACAAATACATCAAAAACATGTAAATACACTTTGGCGCTCCCACTTCGGTTGTCTCAAAGTACTTCTTACAGTAGAGTAGCTGACTAATGCTAACTAACGTTCTCTCTTATAAGGACATGTTTTGATCAACATTATCTGAAGGCATGTTTGGTGGTGACTCAGTCAGCCCTCGTCTCTTGTGATGGTGCCTCTTATTAGATTATTCACTTCAGACCTCTGTCTCATTTCCCTCATCACAAAGTACAAAATAGCTTCCAAATACTGATGTTTTTGTACATTGAGTTTGTGTGATCCACTTTGACCTTTGTCTGGGATTCAATAAGAGATCAAAGGACTCCTGCACTCTTCGTTATGTCATTCTAAGTCACGAGTGCAGTATGGGGTCAGGGAATCTGAGGCAACATTTGGATAGGGATCTTTCTAAATTGTTAATAAAGGGCATAACAGCAAAAGGGTTGTGCTGTTGAACATAGTCCAGCATTGTGGTATAAAACAGGACGTAAATGCAATTATGGAGATGAATGGAATTATTGCTTTATTATGGGAATTTCAATTGTAATTTCCTAGTTCAGGACCAGGTCACCTTTCCCCCCCACAAATGTCTTTACTGGTTTTTGCACAGAAATGAATACTATTCACAATTGGCAGTAGTGTTAATAGGGTTCTGTGACATTTTCAGAAACTCGCTTATTCGATTTCTCAGAATGATAAGCTCAATGTCAATTTTATTCTTGGGGGGGTCCTGAATTAGTAAACAACTTTTTTTGAATTAAGATAAAAAAGGAAAGATCTAAAATTACAAAATTGTAACCATAATGCAAGAAAACATTCTCGAACAATAACATCTGCACTCTAACACCTGCCACAGTTACCTAGTCCACCTCTGTAGGCGCTTTTTAATGAGGTTATTTCCTCGTCCCTTTCAGTCTGTACGCTCAAAGACGGAGCTATTAATAGACGCCTGATCCTCTGATAAGTCTGGTTACTGGAGGATTATCTGTGCCAGTGGATTCAACACCTCACTCTGGGTTGTGCCTGGGACAAGCGAGCGTGTGCGGGCGTGCACGTGTGTGAGAGTGTGGCTTAAGGGTTGTGTGTGTGAGAACCGGTTGGCTCTGAGGACATCATAACTGCCCTACTCGCCCTGTTGAAAGCTGCTGGTATTTGTGGTGACTGTGAATAGTATCTATCTATGTGACAGTACCTGGAGAGGGTCTTCGACCTGATGAGGGCCTTGGTGATGACCAGTGACGGGGCGGACTGCCGCCGATAACTCTGAGACTTCGTCCGCTGCAAGAGACAAAAATAAATAATTCAAAGTGAATTCAAAGGAACCATGTGCAGGATTGCAGGTGACCTATTGGTAAAATGGAATATAATATTCATAACTACATTTTTATTAGTGTAGAATTCGATGCGATCTAGAACCTCACCACTAGATGCCACTACATCCTACACACTGCTCCTTTAACGTCAGATCTGAGCTTCAAACCTGTGTTGTTCACGATAACGTCTTTCCTATGAGTCTCATGGACTCCACTCACACTAAACAGCTGTGAGGTCATCTTCATGAAACCCTTTACTTCTATCTGTTAAGACAAAGACACACTGCCCTGCATAAGTAAAGAAAAGGCTCAAATCCCACAAAGAGAGGTGGACAGAATCTCCCCCGTGCTCATGCCATGTTTACACTCTCCTCGTTCCCGATGTCCAGCACATCCATCACACCATTGGGACTGACCGTGGCCTCCGCAAGGACAGGAGCGGCCGATTGACGCAGGAGAATTTAAACGCGGAGGAATGTCGGAGCGTGAAGATTAGCCAGGGGACAACATTGTACAGTCTGTGTTGCCTTCAGTGCTCAGCGGCCTCTATCTGTCTCTGCCATGACACTCCTGACCTCTCTCACACCTCGCTCACTATCTTTTTGCATGTTTGGGGGTGTGACAGTAAACAAATATTCATAGCTACAAAGGAAAGTCTTTAAAAGTGGTGTTCATTTGTAAAGATTTTATAGATATATATATATCATTAGAGCATGCTAACATGCTGATGTTTACAATCACATTCGGGTTATGATCGTTAGCATGCTAACATTTGTTAATAATCACTAAATATAAAAAGGGAGGCTCTCAATGGACTGGAATGGCCTGCAAGGCGAGGGTCACATGACTGACGGAGGCAACTGAAGGCGTCAGTAGGCTAGTTTTTGGTAGCCGTGCTAACTTGTGTATTTGCATTTGGAAGGACAAACCAACAGCCAGTGTGGTCGGTCTACAGCCGAGGCCGATGGGTACCTCGATAATTTTGTGCTAAATAAAACTAAAAGTCACAGACGTTACTATAATTCATCCTCGGGGGATGAGATTGTGATATTTCAGTCTGGACCAACTGAACAACGTCACCAATTTGTCTGCAGGCCTTCATCAACTTTCAGTTCAATAAAAAGATCAAAAGCTCCTCAGTGAGCAAAGATCAATCCCACCTCCACGCATTTCTGACATTTCACAGTGTAATATCATTGATTTAGGCGGTCGCACAGCAGGGAAACATTCCTTACACTCCAGCCACAACATGACAATGTAACCTTTCACATAAGCTCACATGTAGACACAAGTCTTATATTGGGACACAAACCTACTGACCAACAGCTGGATTACAACACAAAGCAGTTTTATTCATTCACAGAAGACTATCTCACTGCCAGCAGGTGCAACTGGTCTGAACGTACTGGGATTCAACTAATGGAAGCTGATACTGCAACTACCAGCTTTAACGTTTAAACTCAGATATTGACGATATCTAAAAGAAGAGGCGAACACAGACCATGTTGAAAAGAACACTGAAGTAAAGAATAATAGGTGCTCTTCCCCTGAGCTTTCCAGGCTGTTTCATTAACCGTTCAGGGATTTGGGTTCATCACAGATGGAACTGCACATCTGTATTTAATTATACTGTCAAGAGCAGTGATAGTACCAGCAGGGATCACTGGCGCGATACTGTATTTCTGTATCTGTTTGAATCATTACCAATCATTAATGAAAACAAGGACGCAGCACAGGGTACCAGGACTCCTTAAAGTCAGTTACTGTTAAGTGAACGAATCAATGAAGGAGCATTGCACTGAAACAGGGGTAATGTTAAGATTTACATAATATTTGGCAAAATACATTTGAAATGCTATGTTTTAACTGTACATTTACAGTGATATAACGAAGTAGCAAATCGTCACTTTTGAGAGGCGCAACAAGCAAATGTTTAACATTTTTGCTTGAAAATTAACTAACTTTTAATCGATTGTCAAGTTATATTTCTGAATTGTATAAACTCCTTTACAGTACAGAAACATTCATAACCGACCAACAGCTGACTAGTGGATCCAATTTAGACTACAGTTATGTTTATGCATATTTATGAAATCTGCCTACAAGTGACATAAAAGGAAACAATTAAATTAATAATTTTGTTGATTAACATTGCCCGCCCCCCTTTTTATAAGACACTTAATAAATGGTCATAACCAGCAGAATGATGAATTATTTTATCAATTATGACTCCTTCACTGAAGCATTCATGACACTTGAACACTTGATGACGCAATATAACAAACGCTGTAATCCTCTGGAGATACGTGATTACACAAATCTTTGCAGTGTGTCAATAAACATTGTATTAACCGTTTAATAAGGACACATCATTAAATATCGTCACCAAGCATTCATTATTTGTTCATACATGCGTAACAGATGCTTGATGCGTTTTAGACGTTAATTAAATTTCTTAACAATTAAAATCTCCTTATTTCTGCTAATGACATTAGACTGTTATTGATCATTTGTGAACTTATTATACTGCTTATATTATGAACGCTATTGGGGGGTTCAATAAAACGTTACCAAACTGCTAAATGAGATGAAATCAACTGTTGAATCGTTGGTTATTAATCCCCAATAACTAATCACCAGAATATTGTTTCTGCTTGTCTGTGGTATTTTGTACACCATCATCCTGAAACATGTTCACAGGGCTACTCCAGTTGTTTGACCACGTCCACGCGCTTGTGAACTCTGAACTAACCTCTCACGCGAAGAGACCGCGCTCACGGGGACAATTCACTCATAAATATGATCGTTTTTTTTAATTTTATATTTATTATTAGACCCTACAAATGAGTCCGAAGATAAACAAACGACGCGAAAAGTAACGGAGACAAACTGGCTCCTTTGCGCACTCGTGTTAAAAGTTAATAGAACTAAATACGTTTCTATTAACGTTAGGAATGAGCGGGAGCCCTGGTGGTAATGTGGACATCATACCCGTTTGTTGTCCTGCTGTCCGCCGCCTCGGCTGAGGCTGTCCTGTTGCTGCTGCGGAGACATGTTGTCCATCCAGCCTCCAGACGCCCTCCGGCTCACTGTCCAACCGCCCACAGGTGATGCAGGTTAGAGAGAAATCCCATTAATGACGGAAACCATCCCCAGCGCGCGCTCGTTTGGACAGTCGCAGGAAACTTTTTTTGTCTGCGAGCAGGGCGCGTGGATGGAGAACGTGATCTGCGAGGAGGGACAATTTAGACGCGCTAAGTTAAAAAAAAGAAGTTAATGCACAGCTGTCTCTCGCTCCTCACAACATCAATGGAAGGCTGTGCCGTCACCAAAGCCACCTCCTGTCTGGATTATCAGTTACTGACTGTGCCAATTCTTAATGCGTCTTTACGCACAGGGAGGCGGCGCCAATAGGCTGTAAAAAAATAAAAATAAATAAGTCCATCTATTTTTAACTAAATTGCTCCATACGTTCAGCAGACAAACGGGTTTACCTCAAAACAGACAACGATAACGACTGTTGGGTAACAATAGATGTTTGCATTGGGGATCAGACTGTTCCAAGAGATCTGCTAGTGGACGAGTCTGTTTACATCTCTCAGACGCTTTTAAACCAAGTGACATTATTATCCATGATTCATGTTAAAGTTGAATAAAGTTTAAATAAAGTTTTTTAAAGTTAGCATTACATATTTAAACTAAACATTTACATTATTTGAAGATTTTTTTGGATTTTTTTTTAAAAATGTCAAGAATTTAACAAGAAACAAAGAAAATAAATATGAGAAAAGTTCCATTTCATGTAACATCATTTAATTAGATTCATTTTACAGAACCCACAGGTTGGGTTCCATCACTTTATAGTCCTTTCAGTCATTTTTCACCTTCATCACATGAGCACATCTTTGTAATTATCATTGTGTACAACACCACTGCATTCTTTGAGAGTCCAAACAATGAGGGGGAAAAAAAACACGGGATCAGTGCAGATCAACAAACTCAAAAGGAATCCTGGGAACATTTTCTGAACTAAAAGAAGTTATTGAGATGCGTTATCAGATTATGCGTCTGACGCACACTGCCAGAGCATTAGCTCCAGGCTCATCGATCAGTCTGAAGACACATTATTAGATTCCAGTGACTCTGGGAAACCGTCATGAATAGTACTGACTGCAATCTGGGCCATACGGTTGTAATGTAGGACACACTCAAACCTTAAATGAAGTGATTCTTCTTCAATTAACTCTACAAAGGGACATCATCTTTGATCTGTAAAGCAGATGTTAATGCATCAAAGCTGTAATAAAACACTTCTGATTAGATACATTTAGGGCTAAATCCCTAGTGGGCACACAAAAAACACCTGACCACATAGGGAGGAAATGAGGACGTTTGCATTAGAACAAATGACAATTGCCCCAAAATCGATTGTCCTTCTAGATACAGAAGTGGGCCACAAACTGGGCTAAAGCAGAACAAGGCCAGAAAGTGAAGAAGAGACGCAGAGTATTCGTTCCCCAAATTGGCCGCAATCAGCCCCGTTAAAAAAAACTGGATCACTACAATGATTACCTTCCCTTCGTGTTGGTAATGAGCAGCCTTGGGCATGGCAGAGAAAAGCACCATCGTATAAATGTCATCCACCTCAATCTCAGATCCTTTGGTAAGTATTTGTATTTATGAACGCACATTAACAGCAGTGGAAAACTGAACGATTTTACAAACGTCACAAATATTAAGCTCGAGCAAATTACAAAACGAAGCACGACTGTTTGTACGAAGCCCTGAAGATCTGAAACATATTGTACTTCTTTGTGCACAAAATAAAAACAAAATACTTTTCTTCAATGGTCTGTCTGTCTGTGTGTGTGTGTGTGTGTGTGTGTGTTGGGATTTACCTATTCCTTCACTGGAGGCAGGAAACAAGCCGGACCTATAAGAGACGAGAAGAAAACATATTTAAAACAAATATTCTGTAACACTGAGCACACAACTACAGGTGACTTTCTCTAAACCATGTTATTTCATGTAGAAATATGAGTGCGAAATATAGAAAAACTTCTTTCTGCCAGTATTCAAACAACGATCAAACAGAAACAGCAAAAGAAATACATCTGATTCCAAAACTACATTTACAGGAACTATCTGAGCAATAACTGATGAAGACCAGCTGTTATCCTGTCAATATGATACATTTAACTGTATCGTTTCCAGTCTCCAAATTATGAAATAAATGTATGAAATTACTGAATGCCTGACATAAACAGATATGATTTCAAAATCCAGAGGCAGCCCTGGCTGATTACTTTAAAGCTGCTCTTGTATTCAAAATTGTACATTTCCCTGACATTACACTTTCTAAAACACACACCGCCTTCCTGCTTCCAACATCTAAAGAACATTTTTCCATAAATGACCAGATAAAAGTACATACATGTAATGGATGAAATCTATAAATTGCCTTTACAGTCCAAATAAATAGAGAGCCTTTAAATGAAACATTACATTACCATGAAGTGACCCAGCTTTGTATCTAAAATTGACTCACAGAAATCCGTTATAAACAAATATCACTTATACATACACTTAAAAAAGTGACAGATGTTTCTACTCATTCATCTTTAGGCTCGACAGTAATTGTGGTAAAACTGGGTAACGTTATGTTGATGCAAAAGCACGGATTTATCTCGATTACTGGCGACACGTTATTCGTACACTTGATGCACAGAGAAAGGCAGACGACACTGAAATAGAGTTCAAGTTAAGTATGCAGAAGTGCTTTGAGGAAAAGGAATGCAATTACCTGTTATAAAACTATTCTTTAGAACCCGTGACACCTGGTCGGGATACTTCTCATTTACAAGATCCAGTGAAACAAGGAGCGCACACACACACACACACTCACAGAATTCTTTCAAATCACACAGAGACAGGACTTCCTACAAATATTTTATTTGTCTTAACCATCAAATACAGCTGCAGAAACATTCACTCACTTTAGGATTGAACATCTAATTAGCTAAGAGTAACAGTATGTTGGAAGGGATGACCACAAAGTACTACCAACTCCCAGCAACATGTCTTCTTTACCTTTCAGTTTGAGAGATCAGCAATCTGGTTTTGACTCGAATCAATCTAACTCATCTATATTGAAATGCAACAATCCCACACAGCAGCTTCATAAAGTGTATCCAAAATAATGGCAGTCATCTACTGCAAAGTTGTGGACCCACAAAGGCCTTCTTGACATGCTTTGAAACTCGTTTGCAGTTAATATTCAGCAGACAAAAAAAAGCAATTAGATGGGGAAAAATATTGTGTATAAACATTGCAAATAAGTGTCGATCCAAAGCGTTATCCTGTACTTTAAATCGATCACAAAATAAATGCTCCTTGTCCCAACTTGCTTTACATAAGAAGATAATCAAAAATACAAAACTCACAAAAATCTGTCCCATTTCCCACCGACGTAGAACAGAAAGAGAGATGATTTTGGGGGGGGGGGCAGAAACAAAGATCCATGAGTAGCGTGTCTCAGTGATCAGAGAGGATTTAATATCTGCGGCGCTTATGGTTTGGCCCATCAAAGACCCCCCCTACCGGACTCCCCCTCCCGGCTTGAGGGCCCAATGGCGGCTGCTGCTGCGGCTGCTGTTGCTGCTGCTGTTGTGGTTGCTGCTGCTGTTGTTGCTGCTGCGGTTGCTGCTGCTGTTGTTGCTGCTGCTGTTGCTGCTGCTGTTGTTGCTGCTGCTGTTGTTGCGGCTGCTGCTGCTTTGGGGATTCAACTTCTGGTCGCCCCCCCATCGATCCACCCTGTGGGAATCTATCTTTTCGCTGAGGTATCATGTAGTCCGTGTAATAAAAAGAATGTGAATGGTGTATAATCGAGAGAACGTTTGAGCGTCGGAGACAAATGCATTGTATCCCAAAAAAAAAAGAAGCAATTTCAAAGTTCATCAGTCCGGGTTTGATCCAAGTGTGGCCATCCGAGAGTAAAAGGAGGTGAACAAAGCAGACAAAGAGAAAGAGAGGAAAGGGACTATTAGTTAAGTCTACAGTTTAAAACTAATTTTAAAGGACTTTCAAATTTAGTATTTGTTTCTGCATCCGATTCAAAATAAAGCTGTTAAAAGGATAACTTTTATTTTATAAACACAGTTTGACTGACATACTGTTTTTAGGCAATGATCATGTAGAGTTGTTTTTAATGTTGCAGACGGACTAATCAAGAGATAAGCTTCATCTATTTGTCCTGATACATTACCATGGCTCCATTCTCTGACATCAATGGTGTCCCCGTATTTGCAGTTCCCTCTGGGCCAATGGCTCCTCCCCTTCCACTCATGCCCATCATTTGACCCTGGTTACCAGTGGGCCCCGGAGAGCCCCGGTTAAAGCCATCTACACGCAAAACAACGGAGCATTGGTTTGTGATTTGGTGGGTCAGGGTTAAAGTACCCAAACGCCCCGCAAGAACTGTGGTAGCTGAACGCTGAACCTAATACCAGTTAACGTTGGCTTTTGGTCGACAGATGATCTGTCATCCGATGAGGACGGCAATCTAGAATCGGTATTTTGCTTTTACAAACAACTTTGCAACACATTTAAAAAGCACCGCAACAGTTCACTTTAACAGTAAAAGTTTCATCTGTTTGAAGTGAGACCTTTACAAATAGCTCTATCATTAAGCATTTATATGTAATATATATACAAATAAAAAATGTATACAAATATGTCACCAATACAACCAAAAACCAACGTCAATTTTAAGTAGCCAACTGGTGATATATTATGCTTAAGTAGATATTAACAGTCACATTTTACAGATTTGATGCGTTAATAATGAGAGGCTCTAATTATTGACGTGCCAACTTCCACATCTGTTGCTAATTACACCTTGGATTGCACATCATCTTAGTCATGGAGCATACAGAGCTGTTAGAACAACTTTGGACCATTTGGAAGAGCAGTCGGACCAGCAGAGACACCACAGGTTCAATCCCAATCACACGAATAACAGAGTCCTCTACTATCACACTGATCTACAAATACCATCTAAATGAATATCGTGCTGTATTGAAGAAGACTTGAAACTAGAGATTGAGACCATAAACTCATGTTTACAATGTTTACTGAGGGAATAAATCAAGTTCTCTCACAGACTCCTATCTAACCAGAGGAGTCGCCCCCTGATGGCCAGTAGAGAGAATGCAGGTTTAAGACACTTCTGTATCGGCTTCACTCACAGAACCGGAGGTTACTTCCTGTTTGCAACATGATGGCTGATGTGAAGCGTACACAGCATGGACAAGTGAGGCAAAACATCTTAAAGTGCTGCTAACGCCACCTATCGTTTTAAACTGTAATTACAAGCAGCCGAACGGAGAAAAACATGCTTGCGTCAGCCCCGAGCCAGGGACAAGTAATTTAAAACTACCGACATCTCCCACTGTGAAAAGAACTACAGACGTGTCTGCAAATTGTTAGCAGAATGGCTGCAAGTGCACCTTTGCTGTCAGTTTCATCAAAAATAATAACTAACACTAATAATATCAAATCAGCTAATGTTATAGGGGCTATACACTGTTGGATGTTATCATATTTTGAAAGTTATGTTATAAAATGTTACGAGGCAAGAGTTTGGCGATAAATGCGTTCCCATCCACCCGTTTTTACGCTCATTTTCAATTTGTGCATTAAAACACCGGAGTGGAAATAATGGAAATTTGAAGTTGAAATATTGCAAAAACCTTTTCATGCTTGGCTGAGATAGAACATCTGGTGCAATGGAAACAGATGTGGCAAATAAATCATGATGTCAACTAAGCAGGAGGCTTAAATGTCCACTGAGGCGGCGGAAAGTTGCAGCAGACATTAAAACGCACATTACAACATGACAAACAGAAATGCCATATTTCCATAATGTTTTTAGTATAGTTTGATGTGACTGTAAACACACTAGAAGACAGAACATCCAAGACTTAAATTAATAGCCGACCCCGACCCAGACACAAAAACTGGATTCTACTGTAATTTGTGCAACAATAAAAATGAAATAAAAATGGAACACGGCAGTTGTTCATATAGATGATGTGCAATCCTCGGTTATAATCGTTGTACGGTGAAGAGCCACCATGAACCTCTAACAATCTGTCCCCCATTACAGACTTTAACCTCAGTCCCCGGCCCCTCATCCTCAGCAGACCAACATCTACGTCACTTTTCATTCGTGATCGAAATAAACAGACGCTTGTCTCCAATTATTTCCAACCATGAACAACAAGTTTTTTTTTAAAGTGCTAAATAAGTGCTGCGGCCTTTAGGAGCCTTTTTGAAAATGTACAGTAAGAACAGACCTAAAGGCTACAACGGCTTATAAATGTCAAGCTTAAATCATTTAGTTTCAAATCTGCATAGAACCGAGGATGAGAGCTCAGGAACTAAAGATTTCTCAAACTATGAACCCTCACCCCAACAAAAACAAGCCCATTCAGTATGCTGTATATTCTGTTAGTATACACATTATGTTGTCATGTGGTGTATTATGGGGTTTTTCCTCCTTTGCATTGCATCCCATGTGACTCCATTTCACACCAAAAAAGGAGTCAAAACATACAAAGTGAAACTTAAATCATTAAATCATGTTGTTGAAACAGAGGCACTTGGGATGCAAGACCAATAAAAGTATCCGGTCTTTGTATCAACCAGTCTTTACACAATCATGCCCGTACCTCCCATATTAATGGCTCCACGAGGGCCCAGCTCACCCACTCTCATTTCCTGTTCTCTCTGGAAGAAGTGAAGAAGAGCCTTCAGAACAAAACTCCACTAAAGAACAAATCTTTAGCGGATGGGCTGTCGTCCAACACTCACACTGTCAAAGAAATCATTTCTACACAGAACTGATGAGAGGGAACCTAAGGTTCAGCTCAGTGCTTCCTTGTATCCATTTAAACTCTGGCAAGGCAGAAACATCTTCCATCCTCCTGCTGGTCTGTAGATGTACTGCTCACAGACGAGCTTAATGCAATCAAGTTGAGGCGCATAATCACATCTAATGATCTGGAGGTGTGCAAGCATTCATTAACAAAATAAACCACATAAAATGGGCTTCAGGCTATTGTTGTCATAAAGCATTTATTTATGTCAGCCTCTAGACCCAAATAAAAGGTTATGTGATAAAAACATTCACATAGGATCCTGACACACCAAGGGGACTTTGGGAATCAGCTACAGCAAAGCCCTCATCTATAAACTGTGCTTCAACTACAGTTTAGTTCCTAGTTACCTGGAGGAGCTGCTGCAGCCTGATGATACATCACACCAAAACATTAAAGAACCGATAACATCGGAGTCAACATTGCCTATCTCTATCCATTATAACATAGGCCTGCTTGTCTTAAACTCGAGAACAAACAAACAGTACAGAGTAGTATTTTACCTGTTTGGCATCGGTGTTGCCAGCCAAGGGTCTGTTTAGAATGGCCGCCTACAGTGAGCGGTGCTGGACATTAGAGCAAGTGACGCCTGTCAGCTTGGTGTTTCAGGGCCCAAACACACATTCATTCATACAGCCTCTCACAATAAACAGTTATGGATACATTTCATTTACACACAAACTAATACGCAATCCTCTCTCTCCGTTTCACACATTAACTTCTACAGTAACAGATTTCACTGAGCTGGATCGAGTCTGCTTTAACATGAAACATCGAGACACGGCTTGATCCAAGTCACTGAAACCAACTGGACATCAATGACCAAATAATATCTCTTTATGGAAAGTTATGAACTCACTACAATGGGTCAATATCACCAATGTATACATTTTCACACATTTCAGCAGTGAAATGCAGGTGGTCACCTCGCAGAACACAGGATCCGTTTGTTCGTTGTGTTATTGTGTGACTTTGGTGTTTTAAAGGGTTAGTTGGGATTCACCAAAGTCTCACACTAACGCACACAAACAGATCGAGGCAGCGGTGAAAATATAGACGTCAAGATCATATCGGCAACCCATTGCCAGGTTTGCACTTTAAATTTAAAAACTATACAGCTACAGCAGAATTTGTCCCACACATACAGCACTTCATGAAATTTGAAACAATACATTAAAATACTGCAAATATTGTGATGCTCAACATTTGTAATCTTTATATACTTACCTGTTAAATGGTCAATATGTTGTAATTATAACAAGTAGTAGTAATAGTAGTAACATACTCAAAGTATGATGAAGCCCTTTATCATTGTTCCACTAAAATCTAGGACATTGAGCTTCAACTCTGTCCGTCGTCAGATCTAACAGTGATGTGTGAGCTGCAGCTGCTATAGGCACTAGATGGCAGCAGGTAGCACTTACATTCTGGGAGTCATCACTGACAATTTTCCTTCCAAGGACCAAAAAAACTTAAGTGAATGTGTGTAAAACAAAAAAAAAAAAAAAAAAAAACATCTTTAAATTAATGTTTATGTTTTACAAAGCGGCAAAGGAAGCTAGTGTGGAGTTCACATTATTGCCGATAGGGAAGTGAAGTGTGTGACTTGTACAAATTTGCGAAGTTGTTCTATAAATATGTCAATGCACACCGACTGTATGACACAACACACCCTCGGGTTAAAAGTACAACATACAAAAGAAAGGTCTTGTGTGTTCCATCCTAAACTGTGTGTTCACGGATGAGACTAATCATTGGTGTTCTGATACTAATCACCTCACTGACGAGAGACTAGTTGGGTTCAGCCGGCGACCGTGAAGGAGTCGGTATGAACTGGACGGATGGTTCTAGATGCGAGTTGTGAGTGTGTGACGTGCATGTAAAGATAGCAGCCTCCAACAGGACCTCTAAACAGAGCAACGGATCTGAAGAGAAAAGTTATGACATAGAAATCAACAACATATCACAGCAACAGACACGCACGCTGAAAGTTACCTAGAATTCAACTTTGTTTTTGATCAAATAAAAATCGGAAAGATTACACAACGGCTTTTTATCACCGCAGATCCACTTGAGCGCAAAACTATATTTTCTACTCTCATCCACTTATGCAAAGCTCCATCGATTCTGTTCCCCTATGCTATGGATATCTGTCGGACTGGTTGTTCTTATTCATATATCCAACCAGCTCCTGCTTCTTAAATACAACGGGTAAAGCTGGCAATGCAAGAGATCTAAACTATCCAGATCTGTACTTCTGAAAGAGAATAGATGTTCATAAAAGAAAATAAAGATGAATACAAATTCCTCAAACTTACAGGAAGCAACTATAGCTCCTCTGTAAAAGTGCAGCTACATCACATAAGGAAAAGCAGGCAGTTCAGAGAGAGGAAGAGGCCTAATGAAGACCCGTACAAATGTGAGGTTTGCTCTCCCGATTCATCTAAATGAATAATACATTTATTGATAATACATTATTAATACATAAGCAGTAGAACTTAATGAGAGTGGGTATTTGTGACACAATGAACCACAGTATTACAGTGATGTGTTACCATTGCAGCCCGAGCGCAACTATCAAAATGCAGGAGAGTGGTTATATAGAGACAACATTTTCATTAGTCACTGAAAGCTGCAACAAAACTATGAGGAAATAAGAAGTTCCCTGCACAGCAACGCAATTCAGTCGAGGTTCTGCTCAAATGTAGGAAAAGCAAAAGCATCCAAAACGAAGAAAGAGGCTTTCTGTTCACCAGAAACTGGTTAAAACTTTAAAGTATGTTTTCTAACTTTTGGGGGATCCTTTCTGTTGTAGCACACGGTCAAATAAGGTTTGCCTGAATGAGATAGATTTATAGATGCAGACTGAAAGCTGCTGGAGAAACTATAAAACTACTCTAACGTCAAAGACCAATAACTGAGGAACTACAGACAATACTGCTTAGGTGGTCAAGTATGTACACTGTACAAGCTGTTGACAACCATTTCACACTATGATACACAAATACTATAATATTTAGTATATTAAATGCTTAAAACACTACATGTGTACTTCTAATTTATATGTCTGAACTAAAGGAAATCAGTGTAAGAACAAGAAAGGTGATGTTCAAAATAGAGAGACAGGTTATGTATGCACCTGCAGAACTTCAACTCCTTGATGGCTGTAATTCTTGACTGCATGTGTGTAACTGGAGCTTAAGTGTGTTTGACTGCTTGTTTGTATTCCAGCTGTACTCACGTTGTCATGGTAGTTTGGTTTGAAGCCATCCGGGTGGCGTCTCAGTTCCTCCTGTTCTCTGTGTCTCATCATCATCTCCTCCTCTCTCCTCCTCCTCTCCTCTTCATGCCTACAGCCGGAGAGAGCGAAGACGGAGAATAGTCAAAATGCAATCAAGTCAAACTTTACCTTCTGTCCTATTGCTTTGCTCAAGAAAGGACAACGCACCTCATCTCGATCTGCTTCCGTCTCTGCAGCTCCTGGTTGCGGAGCTCCTCCAGTCTCCTCAGCTCCTCCTGACGCCTCATGAGATCTGGAAGAAGGGAGGAAGACAACACTAGTGAGACGGACTGGCAGAGGAACGGACATGTAAAGAACAATGCAACCGATCACATTTTAAAGATCAAAACAAAAAGGGGGCAGCATGCACGACTTATGGTAGCATTTCCTATCACTCAGCTCTACTTATTTAGTCCAGTTCAGGGGGCATAATCCATCCCCCTTTTTCATCCATCACCACAGGCAGCCACAACCTCAACAAATACGTATCACAAACCTGAGATACCAAGTCCACTAAAGCAGCCCTTACCTTGTCTCATTAACATGAGCTGATGTTCATGTTTGGCCGACTCCAGCTCAGCCTCCAGTTTCTCTTTGGCCTCCTTGATGTTCTTGTCCACTTGGTCTCTTTGCTGTTTCTCCATCTCATGAAGAGCTTTCCAGCGAGACGAATACTCAAACTCAAATGTGCCCGGCTGAGCAAAATGGGGCATCTGCTCTCGTTCCCTGTGGTAAAAAAAAGAAGATCAATACAAAAAAAGAACAAACTCAAGCACATCTTAACTATAAGATGTCGTACTGTAAGATGACAACAAATCATTTTACACTTGACTTACTTATAGTAGGCTGCAGACTTCTGCAGCGATTTTTCAGGCTGTCCATCCTGGTCATCAAAGTGCTCCGAGGGCTCCACGATGGCCGGACAAGGCGTGCTGAAGAAAGGGGGGCGACAATGAATTAAACTTGTGATATTATATGAAAGCGAAGGTCAGTGATGTCTTGTACAAATCTAAAGGTTTCCGCGGACGCGGGATGAGTAGAGAGAAAACCCTTCATTTTGCAACAAACAAACAAAAAACCATCATCCCTGCACTCCTTACGTGGTCAGCAGCAGCGCTCCCTCCGTGCAGCACTCCAGGGCTTTGCGTGCAGCTATTTTGTTTGCGAACTCCACGATGGCTCTCCCGGTGGGGCGACCGCGGTCATCTGTCACGACGACCGCCCGTTCCACCGGGCCAAACTGAGAAAACGCCTGATGGTAGAGGGTGGTTTTCAGATTACATATCGCTGCACAGAAATGAGCAGATTCCACAGAGCAGCAGACACAGGAAGTACACTTGACAAACGTTGTATTTCTGAGATTTTAAAGCTCTTGTTCGGCATACCTCTTCCAACAGCTCATTTGTTACTGCTGGCAACAGGTTGCGCACCGTCAGGGCAGCAGTATGTGTAGCAAAGCTGACCCGGATTGGTCGATTTTTCAAAACAGTCCCATCCAGCTCGGCTACAGCGATCTCTGCCAGCATGCGGGTTTCCTGGAAGACATGGATGATGATACCACAGTGAGGCAAGTTGTGGCATTCATAAGGGCTGCAGAATACATTCCATTACAATTGTTATCTTCACTTATACCTATTACATAGTTCAGAATGTGGCCTTGCACCACTGCATTTTCTACATGTATACATACCAAAGACAATGTGTCACATAAGTCCAAATAATTGAACAAGAAGGCTGCAATTCAAAATATGAATATGAAATATGAATACCCAACTCGATACAATGTGGTAGTGAAATGCAATTTTGAAACATACATCTGGTTCCACAAAAATAACATGTTGTTGTTAAAGGTAAGACACGGTTAGATATGAATGGGTGTCAAGTCAACCAGCACCTTGTGCTAATGCTAACATAGCAGCTAGCTAGCTCCTCTTAGCCACATATCGGTCCAGTTATAAAACACGTGAAGTTACAGGTTAGCTTAGGTTAAACCGACAGCACAGTTTAAAACCAATACACGTTAATTTACCAAGCGAACAAAGCCGAACCCCCGGTCTCTGTTGATGAACACCTCGCTAATGTTCCCGTATTTAGCGAACATGTGTTTGAACTCCTCCTCCGGGACGTCCAGCGGGAGGTTTCCGATGTACAGACGTGAGCGCTGGGTGAACGTCTTCTCACCGGGCTTCCGAAAACTCGTGATATCCAAAGTCATTTCAGCCCGTCCCTCTTCGACTCCTTCTCCTTCTTCGGCTCCTTCGGCCGCGGGTGACTGATGTTGCTGCTGCGGAGCCGGACTGTCTTTGTTTGCCGGAGACTGCGCCGGAGAGTCGGTCCTCTCCGGTTGAGGAGAGTTGCTGCTTTGCATAGTCGCTTGTTGCATATTTCGGTTAGCCATTCTCGGACAGAGTAGGTTTTGGTACGTTATCTAAATTAAACTAACTTTGAGGAGAAGGCTCGTGGGCCGGTGTTGATGGTGCACACCTCCTGAATTTCAAAGATGGCGGTGCATGCGCGCGCAACTCGATGTTTGAATCCATTCAAGGGGCGTGGAAGATTTGTGACCCCCCCCCCAGTCATCATCAACACACCCTTCAACACAGTGAATCAAATTAGGGCTGCTACTTAATACAATAATATTATATAATATAATAACAGCAGCAAATCCTCACATTTGAGAGCCTTGAAACATCGACAAATAAATACATATTAATGATAATAAATAAATAGATGAATAAATAAATAAAAGCAAGTGTTTGCTTTGACAATGAGTGACAGAAGTAGTTGATTTATTGCTGATTAATGTTCTATGGATGGACTCATTGATTAATCAACTAAACATTAGTAAGATGTATATATATTCTTTATATAGTAATGTTCTGATCTACATAAAATAACCTGTTGAGCTAACATTATTAGAATACATTAGCACATAATTAACTGGTGTTGGCACTTCTGTGATAGTCTAGCTACTGAAAGTATGCTGAATGTATATACATGCTTAAAGAGACAGGCGTTAAAACAGAGCGTTTCACACAGAGGGTGAATACAGGTGTATTCAGACCGACAGTATAAAAAAAAGTGTTTTTGAACATTAAGGCATGTAGACATGTTCTAGTAGAAACCAAAAATACAAATATGAACCTGAAAATGAGTATGATATGTCCCCTTTAAAGCTCCCAAGCCTTATTTCCAACATGAACATATATACATTTTGACTGATCCGCTACATTACGTGTCTTGTTCTGTCAGGTTTTTGTCATTTGAGCAATGTGCAAGCTTAGGAGTGGCCTGCTGGGAGCTATTCCCATGTTGCACTGGCCAGCTGTACAGATATTATGGCACATCTGTGTGCATATTCCTCTGTTTGTCAGGGATCCTGTGTCCAGACAAGTCAGAGGACTCCTGCCTGTCACTGAGTCCACGTATGAGTCTGTCCACATGTGATTCACTTAGGGAATATTAATAAGCAAGAGGTTTGTGGGGGTATTGTTGTAATTAGCCTACAGACATAATGCGTGCTCATTATAGTACAGAGAAGACTTGTTGTTTGATTTCTTTTGATCCTGAGCACAACCCTGAAGCATTCATTTTACATATCTGAAACATCTTCGTCTTAATGAAGTTTATGTTCATTAAACATTAATTGTGAGTGTTATATTACTGTGTATAATGTTTTTTGATAGTTAATACTGATGCATTAATGTACAACAAGCATGTCAATGCTATAGCTGCTATAGAGGTGAAGCTAATTCTAAGAATGTTATGTGTCAGATAGTTTAATCTTAAAATACATAACATTATAAACAGTGATCATATGTTTTGTGTGAAAATTGTAAACATCCAACATAACATCAGATAAATGTAGTAGAGTAATATTTGCCTTTATCCTAGTGAAGTAGAAGTACCTCAAAATTGAGCTCAAGTACTGTACTTGGGGAAAAAATACTTTGTCAAATGATGACACCACTGGATTATAATGACAATGTCGGATCACTTCTTTCTGATCTAATCATTGAATAGGTTTACTGGTCCAGCTGTAGCGTTGCTTATGGGAGTAGTAAGAGTGACGTAACAGTGACGTCGCGGCACCCTCCTCCCTGAGCTCCTCTGAGCAGCGCAGTAGTTTCTCTGATTTCCAGAGTCTCCAAGTCTGCTGCGGACTTACCGGGGAAATACAGCGGGTAAGTAGTATTATGAAGTAAAATGGACTGGTCAGGTTAGTGCTAATGCGTGTGTAGTTGTCACGCATCGGTGTAATTATGCGCGTTAATTAAGGATTATGATTTGGATTGTGATTCACCTCAAATGCAGTTTAGTGTTTGTACTGAAGCGGTTTTAATCGTGATTAGGGTGGTTGTCCATTAGGACTCTGTATGACAGGCTTTTTCATGAAAAAAAATGTAAATACTGTGTTATTTCCATTTGACTCGACTTTATAATTAAGGCGTATTCCGCTACAATTCAAAGGGAAATATTGTAGCTACATTTCACTCCACTAAATTGAGTGTAAAGTCCGATTTTTGCATAAAAACAAGTGCTGTTTATATGAGGCAGTGTCATCAACTAAACTACCCAATAGTATAAAATACATAACAGTAGCTCCACCAACTTCAACATCAAAATATTGCTTACACAGTAACCCATCACTGATAGAAACCCAATAATATAGTATAAAGCTGAAACGATGAGTCAATAAGTCGATTCACACAAAAACTGATTCGCAACTATTTTGATAATCTGAGAAGATTTTCATGCTTTTTTTCTCATATAATCATTCTTAGATAAATCTTTTTTGGGGACTTTTTGACCATCTGAGGTCGTCATGTTTGGCTCTGTAGCATTTTATTTTTTACAAATTTCTTTACGTTTCATGGACTAAACATTTATCTTTAATTGAAAAAAATATGACGATACAACACTAAGGGGACATCTGCTGCAGTTGTGGTACTTTAAGCACAATTTGATGCATACTTTTACTTTCTTACTATCATTTGTAAGAGTATTTTTACACTGTTGCCAGTGCAGACTGTGTATTTGTGTGTGCATTGGGAGGCTGAACTTTAACCATAATAATACTACGATGTTCCAGTCAACAGTGAAGTGTCAAACAGCAGAATCCAGCAGCGATTGCTGGAATTTCTCCGGTGCAGTCATGTATGTCCGACCTCAGTGTGGAAGCGGAGCACATGAGCGGCAGTATGACAGAAGTTAAGCTCCTGCCGTATGTGCCTGGTCGATATCGGCTGAACCTCAAAGGCAACCCACGGTGGACTGAAATGTTGTATTCTTTTGACACGCATGACCAACTCAAAGGCATTATCCTTCATCTGGTTCACATGTGTCATTTTGTTTTTTTTATACCATCTATGGAGGTCTAGATCACTCAATCAACATGACTCCGTTGGGCCTAACCAAGCACATTCTCTCCTAAAAGATGCTAATGTTTGCATGTGATGCATTCAAGTTTGACAGAATGGGTTCGAACAACTGCGGAGGCCTCAGGGTTTGTAAACAATGTCTCTGTTTCAGTACCTGCCTTTACGTGTTCCTTAACTTTCTACGTTTTAAACAGAACCACATAAAGTGGTTTCTGAGCGAGACGATGTTGTCTAATAAACATATTACTTAAATATTCCTGCAAGCGAGCAGTAAACACAAGCAACACCATTGGAGCATGGAAAGCGAGTCAAGAACCATCGGTCGCAGCGTGATTTACGATGGAGATGGCTTTCTCAGTTATATTTACAAGGTTTTGGGTCATTTGTGTCTTTCAGCCATGAATCTGTTTTCTCTGACAGCACTTGAACGCAGCGTAGTACTGTCTGGGGACAGAAGGTGTGAAGTGTTAATAGTTTGTGTTACCTGAACAGTGTTTTCTTGGAAATAATTTGCTGTTTTTTTCCCCATTGACTTGCCATGTCATTAATTCAGGTCTATATTTATGAATACTTTAAGTAGCATATTTATAGAAAACACAGCTTAACCTCTGGCCTTGTGATGACTGATTCATAGCGTCGGACTCAGCAGACAGACCCGACTTGTTTCTGGTATGAAGAGGTCACAGGCAGGGTCACGAGTCAGAGTCTAAACGTAGTTCTTCTTCTTTTGTGGATAAAAGAACAAAATGTGACACTAAAGTGCAGGTGGCTGCATCACCACCAAGCCAAAGTCACAGCACAGAACAACTTTTTGGATGCTAATGTCTCTAATGCTCCAAACGTCGACTTTGACACAATCTGCAAACTTTGTCCCCTGTTGTCAGGGGTGACAGAAAGATTTAAAACCTGCCCTCCTTCAGATTCTTTCAGCGCTGCGACCCGAAGGAGCTGGTCGGTGCTGATTGAACCCTGAGAGATATAAACCATCTCCAGTTGTAATAGGGAGGCCTAATCCCCCCCCGCACTCCAAGTTTTACTCCGGGCAAGGCCAGGCATCTCTCACACAGCTCAGAGCTGGAGAGCTGATCTTGAGTTTTCCTTTCAGCTTACAGAATATCATTATGAGCTATACAGTACAGCGCCCTGGCTCTGAGCAGGAGCTTAGTGAATGTAAACCCGTGGATTGAAAGACTTCCCTGAATTGTATCACATAATAACATATCATTTAATTACAACGAGTTTCCAGAACTCAACATCAATGGTCCTAGCTCGATTTAAAAATAAAGAATATATGAAATTGTTTCAATACTGCAATTTCAAAATCCATTCAAACGAGCTAGTACAGAAACTAATGAGCAAAAGAAGTATTTATACATATATTGTGTCTTAATTCCTCATAAATCCATGTATCATTTGGTTTATAAAGTTTCTGTCACTTATCGAAATGTCTTGTTTTGTTGAAGCAACCGTCCAAAGATATTAAGTTTAATATCATAAAATATGTCATCTCCTGCAAATATTCATTCATTACAGTAATTATAGTCCAACTGATTTGATTTTCCTTTTATGTATTGTGTAAAAGTCTTTATCGTACAGTGTTCAATGTGGCTGAGGGAGCCTTTAGAGTGTGCCGTGTACAGCATAGTACAGTATGGTTATTCAGTCTGCAGCGAAGACACGGATCAATGTTATTGGGGCATGCATAATGCTAAGAAAACAAGCATTTACAACCACACAGCCAGCACAATGCCTGGGGATGAAAAAACACAAAATGGAGTAAGAGGCATCTGAACTCAACGTTGAACTAACACAACTGATCTCAGATCAGGGGCAAAACCAGGTCATCTGGTGTCTAATTCACTGACTGACGTCTCAGTGAATCTTAAGAAGAGCATTTGTCAGAGTGTCCCTCTTGGAATGTAGCTGAATACTATTCAATGTTATCGAAGGACTCAAGACATACAAATACAGCCTAAATATTCTATGTACCAAAGCCCATAGAATATTTATTACATTTCTATTAAGATACTTTTTTTTGTTGCATAGAAACAAATACCGCTTTAAATCTTTATAAACCAAGGCCACTCAGATATCATCTCACATCTTTTTTAAACAGTAAAGCCCCCTCTTAAAGGAACAGTGTGCCGGATTGAAGGGGATTTATCGTCAAAAATGGAATATAATATTCATAACTATGTTTTCTTTTGTGTATTATCAACGGAAACTAAGAATTGTTGTTTTCATTAGCTTAGAATGAGCCGTTTATTATCTACATATAGCGGGTCCTCTTTACTGAGTGCAGCATGTTGCACCAACATATTTCTACGGTAGCCCAGAGCAGACAAACCAAACACTGGCTCTCGAGTGTGACATTGGAAAAAAAGCATCTGGCAAGCAAGGACCAATGTTTAAATCCCCAGAGGGCAAAAGAGGCCTTGTAATTGAAACATAACTCATGTTTATGTCAGAAGTGTTGATATGTATAATAGACGTCTTCCTGTCCTTTGTCTGCAGACTGGTGGGGTTCCTTTTGACGTTTAAATAATGAAGCGAGCTCACAGCGTGAGCAGCACACACAGCTGATCACCTTTATAGATTATATAATTCCTGCTATTATTAGATGTTAGCTTCCAGGCATTTGTTTTCATGTTCTGCGTTTACTGCAGCTACGAAATTTCTTTTTTTTAAATAAATATGTAATATGTATCAAGGTGCTCCTCTTGGGGGTTTATCTGAGACCACCTATTTCTGCTGCTCATGGTCCCCTTCTCTCCCACACAGTTACAAAGTGCCAAAGCAAAGTGCATGAAGGAACTTTGGGCCAAAGATGGAGGCCTGGCCAACAGTGGCCTGGGTGCTGCTAATGACCAACGTTGCTGATTGGCTGACAGCGGTCCAGTCACGGGACTTCTCCATGACGGACATCATCCTGCTGCATCCCTCAAGTAGGAAAAACTAACAGCCGACTCGGCTTAGTGTCTTTTTGTACAACTGAGCTCTGAACAACGGTGTGGTAGCGGCCCATCAATCACAGTAGCCCCGCCCTAAAGCATCCCCTGCTTTATGGTCTGTTTGACTCGAAATGGACCATAATGTACTAAATGAACATCATGCTGTATTGAAGAAGACTTGAAACTAGAGATTGAGACCATAAACTCATGTTTACAATGTTTACTGAGGTAATAAATCAAGAGAGAAGTAGAGTCATTTTCTCATAGACTTCCATACAACCAGACTTATTTTTAAAGGAGTCGCCCCCTGCTGGCCATTAGAAAGAATGCAGGTTTAAGGCACTTCCACTTTGGCTTCACCTTTCAGACCCGGAAGTTGCCCCAAGGTTTGGCAGAGGTACAGTTTCACCACATTCCACGCTCAAGCGCAAACAATATACAGCAGCTATAACAGCGGACTCTCAGTGAGAGGCTCCGCCATCACACCCTCTGTGGTGCAAGTCGAGTAGCGCTGTCTGAGGACTGGTAAGGTCCTTTGAGTCCAAACGGCAGTGAGTGGGTCTTTGTCCTCTTCAGTCTATCCAGTACTGTTAACAGAGACGTTCTGCAGCAAAGCCTTTAAACTCGTCCCTTTAGCGCTGGTGGCACTCGACCACGCTGACTGGAGTGTGTCACGTCTTTTTCAAGGCCTTTCTGTCAAGAGTGGGTGTGGGGCAAGTGCTTGGTTGAATCAGTATTTAAATTGTGCATTCATTCAAACAGTGAAACCCTGTATTAATAAATACTGAAATCCTGAATGTTGTGATCAGATCAGACATCACAAACTCAAGAGTACTTAAGTGTGTTTGTGTGTGCGTCTGTCCTCCACAGCTACGCCCCATCCTGGTGGCTTCAAGTGCTTCACATGTGAAGAAGCCGCAGATAACTACGAGTGTAACCGCTGGGCGCCAGATGTTTACTGTCCAAAAGGTACGTCGCCTCATCTGTTTCAGCTCCACTGAGCTAAATGCAAACTCACTTCTACAAAGACATTTGCTTATTGTCAGTAGAAAACAAATAGTCCAGAAGTGAAGGTGTGCCATGTCTTCCAGATGCCAGATACTGTAGCACGCTCCACATGATGGATAACCATGGCAACAGTGTGTCTGTGACCAAGCGCTGCGTGGCCCTGAAGGACTGTCTGTTCACCGGCTGCACTGGTGTCACCGATAATGGCCATCAGGTAGGTGGAGGTTGATTCTCATGTCGTGGAAAAGAGATAAGAGTGTTGTACGGAATCAGGAGGACGTCTCCTCAACGTCTCGGTCTCATCCGGCAGATGTGCTCGTCCTGCTGCGAGGGGAACATCTGTAACGTGCTGGTGCCGAGGAATGCCAGCAGCTCCATCTTCTCCTCGACTTCTCCTCTGGCCAGCTCCAGCAGAGGGTTCCCTCCTGTGACGCTGAGCTACTTCACCATCATCATCATCATCATCATCATGGCCATCTTTACAGCTGGACACGTTTGAGAGGGAAAACTCTGCATCTCTGTGCGTGTCAGACCCAACTTAAGGACACTTTTTGTGTAAATATTTGCTAAAGGGGAAGAACAAGGACAAATGCATTTCCTAATCTCGTGGTATTTTCTTTTAGCGTGTTCATTTTATCTAGCTGATATTAGAACTGCATAAGGATGTTTCACAAACCACCACGAAACTCACAGAAATGCAATTAACTGTTTTAACGTGAGGTTTGACCAAATAAAAGACAAAAAAACTGTCACTACTGCAAAATCTTCCCTTCAAATTATAGGTATCCTTCCCTTCCTCCTCTTTTTACAATTTGCTGAAGCTTTTTTGTTAATATATTTATGCTAAGTTGTAACAGTATTATTGTCGCCATGTTAGTGTGCATTTTCTGAGGTCTTGTCAATATTAAATAGCTTGGGAAATCAGTAATGTTTTTTTGTATGTTTTTTTTACATTCAATTTGATCGACTTTCAAGGTATGCATTGGAATCAACAATAAAAGTATGAAAAATATGACAAAAATTGTCAATTATCTTTTTTCAGATAAAATTATTTGGTTAAAAATAATCAAATCAAATCAAATAATTTAATTAATAAAATGTTCTTATAGCAGGATGACGATGTGTGGAGCCAGACCTTTAGTAAAAGCGTTGAAGCAGCACTGTGGAAACCCAATCTGATCAAACGACCACAAGGAGACACCAAACAAAGAGACCGAGTCTGTTTGATAAAATGAAAACTAACCAATGCTTGTGTTGTCTTTACCTTTCTCTGGATCACAACAATTGTCAAGTCGAAGTCAGCCTCTGTGCAGTAAATCTAATCAACCACTAGGTAGAGACAGATCGCCACTGTTGAAGTATACACACACACAAGCTGAACTTAAAAGTCCACACACACACACAAACGCAGTCAATTTGTTTTTTATAGATTCAATAAAATGCTCAGTGAGACAAATGTCTTCCTGGTTGTTTTGACAGAAAGAAAGATTGCACCCTGTAGGTGTAGCAGCTTTCATTGTGTCTAGCTTCAGGCTCACAGGTGATCAAGATGTGTCAAAACCGCTAAATAAAAATGTCAGATGAGGCAGTATATCTTGTAAAAATGTGTCTGCGAGCACCACATTTGTTCCAGACTCAATCCAGTGTGTGTTCTCAATGGATGTGTTTGAATGAATATCCTCCGCACTGACATGTTTGGGAACTTTGAAAATGTATGATAGCCATTTGCTACACGGTTGTTTCTATGCGAAGTCTGTTTGACTGGATCTTCATTTGGACAGTGGTGGAAAATACATTTACTGAAGAACTCCGCTCATGTACAATTTTGAGGTACTTGTTATTTAAGTATTTCCATTTTATGCAACTTTATACTTCTACATTTTGAGGCAAATATTGTACCATTTACTCCACGACAATTATTATTTCATTAGGTTACTTTGCAAATTTTGATTAATAAAAACTTACACACTATGATGTATTAATACAGGTTAAACTACACAGCAGTATGGCGACATTAGAAATGTACACGTTAATTTATCAAGTTATGAGGCAATATTGTATATACAAATCTGAAATGGGCCATTCTGCATAATAAGTACTTTTCCTTTCGGTACTTGGAAGTATACTTGATACTTATGTACCAGTTTGAATGCAAGACTTTTACTGAAGTGAAACATCTCAATACTTCTTCCCCCACTGCATGAATGTCTCTTTATTCTACAAACTGTTATTTTGTTGTATATTTTATCATGTATAAGTATAGGCAACTCTTAATTATGAAAACTTAAATATGAATCTGGATAATTCAGTTCTCCATGTACTAGAATGGGTTGATACATTTGGGAAACACTTCTGGGAAGGAGCACACACTCACCGCTACAGGAAACAGTGTCACTGCAGCCTGACGAGAAGTCACTTTATTGGCTCAGCAGTTCTGACGGTCACAACTGTCGTGATTCAAATCAAAACAGTACACACACGCACGCACGCACGCACGCACGCACGCACGCACACACACACACACACAGTGCAACAGATAAGAGGAAACAAAACAACATTGTACAGGTTCGTTTGAAAAGTTTTTGACCTGATATCTGCGTTTCCATTTCAAATCCATGGCTCTATTATCCTAAAACACAGATGATGTCATCTGAAGGAACAACATCGGCTACTAACTCTTCAAACGGCAGATGTTACATGTTGAAAGGCCTCCGAGTTTGTGTTTCTCCCTGATGTAGTGCAGGGTTAGCCGGGTTGACCAGCAGCAAAGTCTATTTCAGAGTCTCAGTCAAGTCCTTGTTACAGTACGACAAACTTTGCACAACCTTTCACTGATGCGACCATGTACCAACACTAACGAGACCCAAGCTCCTTCAAACCATAAATAAAAACGCCTTGCTTGGATTTCGCTCTGGGAAAAATATATATTTTTAAAAAGCCTATTCCTCATCAGCGAACACATTTGAAAGTCCTTGTAGTCTCGCGATGGCAGAACTGTGAGCGGGTGCGTTGGTGAAAACGGTCCCCATAAACTGAGGCGTTCCTCTCAGGATGTGGCGAATGACTGTGCAGGAGCCCGACACTTCGATGTGGAAGCCCAAATCTCTTACTTCCTCCTCCGTCCGCAGTTTGGCTTGACTTGATGGAGATGCAAAGAACTGTCGGGGGAACAAGAGGCGATGTGAACAGGGAGGACGAATCACCGTTAATGCAAGAAATCCCGACTGCAAACAAGAGCAACTCACAGCTGCTCCTGTTGTGGGGTCGATGAAGTCGGCCCAGTAGCCTGCAGTCCACAGAGCGAAGCACATTTCCTTCGCTCCGCTCACGAACTGCAGTTAGGAGAAAACGCACGTCAGTACGCCGTTTCAACGTCACATCTCTTAACTTATTCAGTGATGAAATATCACAGGACTCACTTTGCGCAGCAGCTGGTCTTTGTCCTGCTCTGCTGCCTCCTCACACCGACCGTTACTCTGTGTGACTGTCACAACTGTGATGGAGGTGGTGGGCGCCGAGGGGAACATGAGCTCAAGATCTGACACACAGAGAGTTTTGTTACTTCAGGCTATGAGGAGTCAGTGTATAAGATGTGTCGATGCCGAATAACGGTCCCTTACCTTTCCTTAGCAGCTCAGGGCAGTTATTTATGGAGCAGTCTGTCTCTGTCTGATTAAAGTACTGCTCAGCTTTACGGACTCTCGTGTCTATGGTACCGAGGTTTCCCTGATGAACACACACACACACAAATAAAGGGTTTTGAATAGTTGTTTATATCATGTGTTGCACTTGATAATGAGATACCCGGCAGGTGAAGAATATATCTAAATGTTCTACGGTTATATGGCTAAAATGTATTGCTTAATGACCATTACATGTACACTAGCTACAAGTTAGTTTTTGTTTTAACTTGCAGCTATTAAAAAAAAAAAAAAAAAAAAAAATCTTACTTGGAACTCATTAACAAACTGGGCCAGTATGAACTGGTGCCTCTCTGTGCAGCTCGGGGCCGTCAGTACATCCGGCACCGTCCTGTGGACCGGAGTCTTCTTCTGGTCCTCCATGCCCTCCAGGTGGCAGTCGAACCCGGCGTTACCCGGTAACTGAAAGCGCTGGTCTTGAGGTCCGAATGGTCCCATGTTCTCGTCAGGCCACACGGTCCTGTGGCCTGTAGGGGACGTGACAAAGATACACGTCTTTATATTTTCCTTTGTTCTGACAAACCCTCAGTTTGCTGCTGAAAAACTGCACCTGGAACATCATCTGCAGCCATGTTTGACTAGTCTCTCAACACAATTCAACAGACCGACAAGAACAAAGAAACTAAAAAACTAAAATATAAGTCATAAGCTCCGTTCAGATCTAGATCAGAGTACGGTCACATTTACCAGTAACTGGTGACTAATTCATTTACTATACGACTCACCTGAGTCTGTGTGTGATACAGCCACGTAAGGCTCATCTGAGCTTGCAGCAGAGAAGGTTCTGGTTCTGCCGACCCGGAGGGCAGCTAATGCTTGATGGCCGGCAGTCTTAGACAGAACCAACCTGCCTCGACCACACAGCACCTGTATGGGAGCAAAAGGCATTCGTTAACAGCCGGAAGCATTTTAAGAAAAGTACAGGACAGTAGCCTATTCTCTCAGATACACACACTTGTGTGTTTTAGGTAAACATGCAGACCCATGTTTACTATTAGCAATCGCTCAACATGTGATGGTAAATTCAGCTTTTGAGTGATTCAACAAAAATCCAAATTGATTCACTTTTGCATGTAATTTGTACGATAAGCAACATCTTGGAAAATTGCCTGTATTTTAAATGAAGTGTGTTATGTAACTTACACTACTGGACATTGTGGTTCGTCTCCTCCTCCCTCTCACGTTAACCTGTTGGATTAAAAACAACAACAATGAGGACACTCAGAGTGTGTGTATTTTTTTTAAATTGAAAAACAAGCTTTAGCTAGCTAACCTGAAGTTTGCTAACCAGAGTTAGTTATAACACACATGCTATGATGCAATCTTTCACTGGGCAGCGTCCAAGTCTGTCATACACTCGCTTCACAAGTAACAAAGACGTTTAATTTGTAACGGATGTACATCGTCTCAAAATGTGTCGGGTTCAAAGCAAACAAAACAGCTAACTAACTAGCTAAACTACTAGCGTTAGCGAGTTGTTTGCTAAGACATAACTAGATCAGCTGATAGCTTATTTTGACACTTTCCCTATTTAGGCAGTATTTTATATTCCCTAACTTGATATGACGAGTGCACAAAACAGCCGACAACGTGATTAAGAAAACGACAGATATACATATGTTAACAGGATTATATCTAGAAAAGTACATGTTGTTCTTACCAGTCAAATCGCACGTCCGCGACTCTACCGGGCTCTTTCCCGATCGCGAAAACAACGACGGGAAGCGATGAGGGATGAACAAGTCATGCGCAGTTTGGATAACAGTTATATCAACGTCCATTGTAGTGTGACGTAAGAGACAATGGGGTTATTTAAAGAGAATTCAGCGTGCGCCATTCTCTGCGTGAAATTGTGCTACTTTGAGACGACAATTATTACATAATACCACGGACGTTTTGTCCTTTTTACCGGTGCTATCAGATATTAAAAGGGCCGTGTTTTCCCATGTTTCACCACAAGATGGCAGCAAGTTTACACGACCAAATATTTGATTACAACAGCACCACTGCCCCTGTTTAACATTGCAAGTTGGCCTCATAAAGTAGCATGCTAGTTGGCATTTGGGAAATTAATTGGAGTATTTTAAGTTTTTATAATGTTGACTTGCCTCCCATATTGTTATTTGTGATAAAAAATAAAAAGGGTTACTCAGACTTACTTCTGTTGATATTTATAGTCCAGCTTGATGATAATGGTATTGTCCGACTAAAGAAGACATATTGGTTGTTTCAAGCCTTCGGTTTTTCTATAAAAATCACAAGGAGCAGGTAGAAAACAGCAGGTAATTAATACGAGGTGTGGCAGCTGATTGGTCAGCTGCATTGAGGGCGTCACAGGCCTGAACTGAGAGATAGAATATCAATATACAGTATATCAACACCTGAGTGCTCTGCGATGTCATGCAAACAACTTCAGTGGATAGGCCCCTGTGTAAACTATGACATCCTGGGCAGGGGAAAGTGCTTTAATCACACTTCCACTTAAGTTCCCTAAAACTCTAATAACTTCACCTTGGCAAACCTCTCAATAATGTCCAGAATCAAAGACTGAGTGCGTTTGCGCTGTGTGGTTCCCAGGTGGGAAACTGAGAAGAAACGGCACACATGCTCAGCAAAAAATCCCCTCCCTTGATCAATAAAGTTTTTAGAAAAAGTAGAATAGAGGAATTGTCCCAGCAAGAACAGTAATATTTGCTGTCAGAAGTCGTGAAGGACAAGGACAGCGAAAGTGCATTTTGCTGGCGTGGACACGTCTCTTTATAGCTGACTCGGACAAGCTGATTGACATTTTCTCTGAACTGACAGGATGTGCAGTGGGAGTTTACCCCGTGTGTGTGTGTTGTGTGTGTGTTGTGTGTGCGTGTGTGTGTGTGTGTGTGTGTGTGTGTGTGGGTGCGTGTGTGTGATGAGGAGGAGGCATGTGGAACCGCACAGGGCTCGGCTGTCAGCGAGTCTCCCACAGGATCATTTGTAACAGCAATGCAGCATCCACCCTAGACGGAGCCCTTGTGGGATGTACACACACACACACACACACACACACACACACACACACAGATATGCGCCAGCATCCCAAAGCAGCTACCAAATGAAATCTTCACCACAGGCTCCCTCCCCAGTATTGTTATTTGGAGGTGAAAAGTTTCGAATGAATCAAGACCAGTTGTGGAAATTCAACACTCTTGCTCTGTGGTGAGATAATATGCAGCTCGGCTGACATTAAAGCAGCACCTTATAATTGTTTTCCATCGTCGATTAACCTGGAATTGTGTTTCAATGAATTGATTTGATAATAAAATATCAAAGAATAGTAAAAGAAAATGTAAAATGTGCAAATAGACACAATTTACAGAGTATGTTTCAGCCTATCTACCAGCATGCACTTACCATTACTCAGTTTAAAGTAATCGTGCCGTATCAGTCTCTAATTGTTTCTATGAAACCCTTTTTTTCCTGGACAGCATGTGGCTGCTTTTCGCGAATGGAATTCCTCAGTTCAGCGGAGCCTTGAGAACTCGAGACAGAGCCATGAGTCACCTCAGGTCTCATATCGCCGCGCTGTCAGGCCACATTGGATGTTGTCTGGAATCAGCACTTTTCTGTTAACATTTCATCCACTGTCAAAAAACAGCCCTCCACATATTCTGAGCTATACCTGCTCAAGTCAGCACTCTATTTACTGCCGTAACTATTGACGTAGTGAGAGCCATTAAAAGGTCTATAACCCATCTCCTCTCAGCATTTGAGGATGACAAACCTATCAGGATTGCAGAGTTACAGGTTTTGGTTATGTTTCCCACCTGCCACCACCTCCACACAACTTAAATTTAGAACCCCGGAGCTCACGTGTAAAGCTCTTTAAAGTTCCTTGCTAAGAAAATGGTTCCACAAAGAACCTTTTTACGGTTCTTCTATGGCATCACTCTAAAGAACCATTTTCGGTTCCAGATGGTACCTTTGTCTTCCTCTGTGTGGTTAGCTTAGCTTAGCATAAAGACTGGAAATGGGGGGTAGCTAGTTTGGCTATTTCTGAACTTAGAAAAAAGTCTAAAACTCACTAATCAATACATTTTATCTTGTTTGTTTGATTCAATTAAAAAAATAATCTATCTACATCTTGGCTGGAAACAGTGACTTCCTGAGTTTTCAGTCTTTATGCTAAGCTACGCTAACCGTCTTCCGGCCATAGCTTCATATTTAGCGTACAGACATGAGAGTGGTGTCAATCTTCTCATCTAACTCTCAAGAAAGCAAATAAACATATTGATCCAAAACACATAACTATTTCTTTAATGTGCAACAAGAATTTCATTTTGAGCTATGATGGTTCCAAGAAGTCTCTTTTCTATTAAGCAGTCACATCTTTAATCATTTAAACAGCCAGACACATGTCTACAGGGTCTCAGCTGCTGCGGAGCATCACCATCTGGACACCAACTGCCTGCTAACACCACGGTGCTTTTTTAGCTGAATAAAGAGAAACACTTCAATTGTCTGTGTATCTTGGTAAATGGCAAAAAACAGCATATTCAGGAGGATTTTCCTCCATTTTATTACTTATATTTTATGATTTTTTTCCAATGAGCATACTGCTTTATGATAGTTTGGACAAGTTGGTGTCCACATTTCCCAGCAGCCCCTGATTTTCACACGCACTTACGAACGAGAAGGACAAAGACAATACCTGTGACACTCCCATGTGACAAAGTATTTATGTACACTTTCATATGTATTACGAGGCTACATCCTGTTATGATGACATCGATGTGAACTTCAGAAAATAAAGAAGCTTTTAGCTGAAGTTCAAGCAGGAAGACAATTACCATATTAATTTCCTCATCTCTCCGGGTCTCCAGCTCTCAATTATTATCCGATGACCTCGCCGGGTTGTGTTTTGTGTGTTTTTCCTGTCAAGGGCATCTAAACGCCCTTATTCATCAAATCTCTGCTGCCACTGCATCACCGCCATCAAGACTACATCTAGGCTCTCCAGGGTGGGATATTTAAAATGACTGCAATTTATAGGTTCTTACCCTATAAACCGATTTCATTGATGGGGTTAATCTTTTAAATATTAATCCCCATATCCATTTTTTTTCCCTGATTGACCAAACTTGGTGAACATGGTCACAGTGGGCACTGATGCAAAATGCATGAACACTCCCCCCCTCCTGAAACATGCATGATTATGTGAATTCAGAATAACGGCTCAAAAATGGTGCTACCTCATTAGTGGCTGTAAACCCCAGGCTTGCGTGCGGAAAATAATTGAAGAGTTCAGCACTACTGACAATGCTCAGAGCATTTTGGAATCCATTTCAACAAATAAGCACCAGGTGCAAGTATGATAATATCTCAAGAAAGTAGCACAGAGGCTCGGGCAAGTGCAATAAACCACTGCAGAGATGATTTCTCTTTTATTAAAAGACGCCAGTTGATTATTATTACCAAAAACACTGGCAAGGTGGTTCAACAAGAGCCTTGCTAGCAGCTTTGTGAGGCTCCACATAGGAAAAGCAGTGCTTAGAGACAAATGATACCGGCAGCATGCTAACATGCTGATGTCTATGATGTTAGCATGTTTTTTTTTTTATGTGTTTTTGGTTAGTAGTCTGAAATAAGGTCTGTGGTTAACACAAGCTTAAACGATTTTAACGTTTTGTTCGACATAAATTAGTCAGTAAATATCCCACTGGTGAAATTTGAAGGCGGTTGCTAAAGAGTGGCTAAATAAGACGACAAAATGTCATCACGCCGACTAGTCCGCCGTTATAGTTGCGTTTGTTCTCGCGATCATGACCATGGTGACCATGGTGCAGTTCATCTATAGCCTAGCGTTAGCTTTTTTACTTGTGGCGACTACATTCACGCTCGCAAAATCACAAAAAACGGACGGAGATTATCTTGCTGCACAAAACGCATATGTTTCATGAACTTTATTTTCTGCAATAATCCCAAATCCACTGGAAGATATCCCATTGTGTTCTTGTCGAGGGAACCAGTGCGATGTTAACTTCCTGTTGGCTACAAACATACAGTATGTTATCGTCTGGATAGGAACACAATACATGTACCAGTACTCACTACAAAAGCTCAAAAAAGGTATGTTAGCATAGCGGCTATCACGCTTGTTTGCAGAATGATATTACCAGATTAGTGAAACGCTGTGCATGTAATATTACATTCATGCTTTACACTTCTGGATCAAAGTGGTCCACCGAGCCGGCATTGCCATCCAGAATGCAAACCATACATGGGTTTATAAATGTAACCACAACTTTGCAACACAACACACTTGGCTATATTTCTACTTACGAATGAGCTATTCCAAGAACATTTAAACTAGTTAACGGGTCTTGTGCTCCACAAAGTGACTGACGCCTAATCAGTCCAACATCTTGACTTGTTCCCTCGGTGCTCCCAGAAAGTTCCAGGGACTTAGCATGAGCTCGGCGGTTACAACCGTGACAGCCGGGGTCAGGGAATAACAGAATATTACTGTGGGTGCTCGCACCTGATGCTCATTTGTCGAAGTCTGTTCCAAAAAAAAAAAAACGCCCTGAGCGCTGTCAGTGCTGCTGAACTGTGCAATTAGGGCCTTTTCCCGGTTGTGAGCCTAGGGGGGCTGCAGTCACTAATGAGGTAGCGGTGGGTGTGTGTCTGCTGTTGCACTGTGCGCATGAAATTATGTAGATGTGTAAAGGG